GTTTTTATAGAATGGTTTGAGACGTTTGTGTAACTTCCATATAATTATAAAAGCTAATTCTAAATATTTCAAAAATAAGTTTTTATGTTCAGATCGTCAAGGTGCAGGGTATAATTCAATCGGTTTAGACCGACTGATATGTTTTAACTTGTTTCTATTTTATTTTGTTACAAATGCAAAAGAACAGAATGCAAGAAAACGATCAAGTAAAAGCGAAATACTGCTATATTACAAAACAGAATATGTATATTACAATAAAATAAACTAACATATTCATGAATTTTTTTCCCTAAAATTCTGAATTTGTATCAAGATAAATGTAGATATTTATGATACAGAAAGAAAAATAAGAAAAAGCAAAAAGAAGAATACGAATAGCAATTATCAATTCAAATCAATTAAGAATATTGTACTTAGTACATTATTACTTAAATATAATAAATGCTTAAGAAAAATATTTATTTTTATTTATATTTATTAAAATGCACATAACAAAAAAACAGCAGGTTAATGATCGTATTTCAAGGACGTAATATCTAAGTATATATCTACATGATATGTACTTCAAACTTAATTCTACTAAAATTTATGTTAAATGACAAATAAATAGGAAAAACTTACTGTAAATTAGAGAATAATTTATATTTTTATTTAGACGATGCCTCGATAAATAAGAATATAAATTATTTAAAGTATTTTTGACTTTTTATATAATTTTATAAATTATGTAAAAAATAAAAAATATTAGATTAAATTTAGGTATCTAAAACTGGTTCCTAATTGGTAACTACTTATCGTGGGATGAGTGCTATTTTGATCCATACGCCATGACTTTTGAATCGAGAAAACCGCATTTGAAGTGTAACAACACTTTATTTCAAAACTAAACGATAGGATTTCTTAAATTTTTGTTACTGGTTTTATTATAGTTTAAAGAGTTTGACTATAAAGTTTTGTGCAATTCCGACAAAACGATGGAGAGTTTTAGTTAAATAATTAGAGAATGTCTAGTGCGATTTTGATTCATATCCACTTTTTCGATCAAAAATGTTGGCTTTGTATGACGTGGATCAAAAATTCATGGATATAGATCAAAATTACTAGACTTTATAGACATTTAAACATACATATATTCTCACTAAGCGTAGGATTCTAGATTCATTTCCGGGTAGCTGAGTAGCTGGGTAGCTAGAAAATAAGTAAGCGATTGAAGTGACACAAGGAAATTCGGTAAAAAAGTTCCAAATTATAGTTTATACATGTCTTAAAACTCAAAAAGAACGAAGCGATCTAATGCTTAATGTGCTATGATGATCCATGTCATAAAAACCATTTTTTTTGTATGATATGGGTCATTATAGCACTCCAAAAATTTTTTGAAAAATTTATATGGAAATTTGATCCATACGCCAACGATTTTGGATATTGATCAAAATACATCGCAAATCGAATTTTAAGTGGAGGTGGATTAAAGTGACATCGGCGTATTCACGAAATTAAATGAGATAGCGAAAATTTGACTAAATATACTGAAAGTTCATCGCCGAAAACCTATGAAAGTGGTCTTATGTCAGAAATTTCAAAAGTGGCGTGTGGATCAAAATAGCACTCAGTCGACGCTATGTAAGTAGCTTTAACAGAAAAAATTAACTATAGAAATAAAAACATATTAAGTAGGTTTTCATTTTAAATTTAGTGTCTTTTTTAATGATTTAATCTTGTAATCATGCTTTAAAATATGGCCAGGCTTACGGGATTTTTTACACTTTATGCAAATCTGACCAATATTTAATTTAATAGTGATTAAATTTGTTTATACGGAAGCAAAGGCAATTATAGTGCAAATCTTGAATTACAAAAAAGGAAAAAATAACATTTTAAAACTGATTTATTAAATTTAAGTTACTTAGTATATCATCAGTATACTATGCTTTGCTAACTTTCCTTTGTCTACATTTAATTGAATAAAAATGTGTATATATATGTATACGTATATGTATAAATCTACTTTTATATTATACACATATCTATATATGAATCAAAGAATCTATATACATACATACATGTATGTACATAGTTTTTTTTAAGTTAGTAAATTATCAATAAACTATGCTTTTCATAAGTTTCCTTTGTCTATATTTAATTGAATAAAAATGTACATATATGTATATATACGTATAAATCTACTTTTATATTATATACATATCTATGTTTTTAAGTCCATAATTTAAAAAAAAAAAATATGAGAAAAGAATAAGTGAAAAATTCAGCCTAAAATTATTTGTAAATAGATAGGTCACCTATTTTCATATATTTTTACTGAACAGAAAAAATTTAATAGGTCTCGTTAGAGCCAATATACTTATAGCAACTTTTTTTAAATTTCAAAAAGCCTAACTAAACTTTTTTAAACAAATTTATAAGATTTATTTTTCATGCAGTAAGTTATGCATTAGTTTTGTTTTAATATTTTATGATAAAATTTACAATGGTTGATAATTCGTGTCCTCCAACGTCCCTGATTGCTTTAGAAGATAGTTATTAGATATTTAAAGAATAAGTATACATACCTACTTTCTTGTATGCATTAAAAAGTTTTAAAAAAGTCAGATATAGATTGTATGTATGTATTTGGTACAATTAAATTTTTTAAGAAAATAACACCCACGTAACATTATGTTACTTTTCTGGTAAGAAGCATTCTTAAATGTTTATTGTAAAAATAAATACATACCTATAATTAAATCTGTGTTTATAAATCAAAAAAATTAAAATTATACATTGCGATGTTTCTTGTTTAATAGTTAAACATAAACAAATTGAAATGCAGCTGTAACATTTCAGTTTCGTTATTAAAAAAAAGCGAAAAATCGATGATGTTGAAATTTATTTTTCTATATACATATTAGGTATACATTAGCTATATAAACGCATATGTATAAATGTATATAGTTATGAATCGCGATGGATATATGCTTTTCAAAAATCCTTGAAAAAAAAAAAACATTTATATGTAACAAAAGATTAATTACTTACATGGCTAATCGAGAAAAAATTGCAGTTATCATTTTAAAACTAAATACTTAAATCTAGAAGGAATCTAATATTTTTATTATTTGGTTAAATTATTAAAAAAAAACTGTGTGCACACAAAACTTTTTATTTTTTTATTAGAATTTTTTTCAATTTTCTTTCACCATGGCATCCTAGTATTACCTAGGATGCGCCTGAATATTTCCTTTTTTTTCTTAAGTGTTAGTTTAAATAAAACAAACACATTAAAATTTTAATAAAATATATGCTTTTTTTTAATTTAAGAAAATTCTATAAAAAAATTAATAATTTTATATTTTTTTCCCCTTTTTAACAATTTTTGGCAATACTCTATTTTTTATAACGCACAACGCGCGCATTTAACAAACAGGAAAAACTGAACATTCAAAAAGTAAAACAATACTACAAAAAGTCAATTTTAGTACATTTTCGCAGCTGTTAAAACTATTTTAAACAGCTGACATTTTTGTAATTAATAGAGTCAGTAGAATTTTTCATATATTTTTGACACAATATCAAGAATGCAAGATTAATACATACAATAACTGCGTCACGATATTATTAAAATGAAATAATTAATCTTCAAAATTTTATTTCACTTTATAACTTTTCGAAAAAGCATTGCTTTTGAATATTCGGTTAAAGTGTCTCATAAAATTTTTGTATTTTATTAAATTTTTAAGCGCATTTGTCATATTTTGAGTAAAAATATCAGCCAAGAGCGAATCACCTATTATGCTTGCGAACCAATAATTATAGCTTAGTACATATTTATAACGATTCAACCCTGTATTCAAACCCAATAATTCCGTTTATTCTAGAAAATTGAGCGTCTGTTATTTTGAAATATTTTTATATTTCAATTAATTATCTTTATTATAGAAAAAAATATGTGCGGACGTGGTTGTGGAAAATATATCCAATGAATTCTAGTTGCCTTGCAATATCGCTACTAATTAGGGTTAGGCACTAAGAGCTACAGATTTTTTTAAATGTTTTTATTTCAAATTTTGTCTTACTAAAATCATCTATTATATAATGCGCCAAACACATTTAAATTCTTATCACAACTCTTCGATCATTAAAATATCTAAAAAAGTCATTTAACATTATAATAATAAATTTTGCAACAGAATCAATTGCAATAACGTAATTACAAAATTGCATATCAGTTAATTTACATAACAATACTAATGTTATATTAACTATTAGATTCTGAAATAATACAATCCACAAAGCAAACAAAATCGAATCTTTAAAAGCGTAAGAAACATGGAAAACATTTGAAATTTAACTGCATCCACAGTACTTGCGTTCTTTTATTTCATTCATCTGCAAAAAAGTATAGCAAACCTTTTTAGACTGATTTGTTTTTATATGTATATATTTGTTAACGGAGCATTCTTAGCTTTGTAAAAGAACTGAATGAAAAATCATGTTCAAAAATTAAAATTTAACTGAATTATTTTCAATTTTTATTTTATTTGAATTTTAATTACGTTTATTTATTTAATTCAAAATTATTTAATTTTAGTTTAAAATTAAACAATTTAATTTAAATGTGAAATTTGTAGTAATTTATATTAATATTTTAATTTAATTTTAGTTTAATTTAAAATTATTTAATTTTATTTTATTTTTTAATTAAACTCAATTTTTATTATATTTTCAATTTTTATTATATTTTACGCAAGTAAAATAAGAGAATTAAGTTTTAAATCAAATGTTGACAAAATCAGCGTAAACAAGGAGCTATTTTCATAAAGTTATGTTAATCGTGTTACTACTAGCTCTTAAAATTTCACAATGGCACTTAGCATGTATTTTATTATGTACTTCAATATAATTTCGTAAATGTCAGAAGTAGGTTTGTTTTTTGTCAAATTGTTGCATTTAGATGCAACTTTAAATTTCACTTTATATTTTTAGAAAATTTTTGAGCGAATATAATTTTAAAGGAACGTTTATACAAAAACAGTTTGTTAATAAGAAATTTAGTATTTTCATTACCACAAAAAAAAATTTTCGCTGAAAATAATTAAAGCTTCAAAAAATACACAGTTTGTTTACATTTTCGATATTCTAAAAGATTTTATAAATATCAAAGTTTTGCTGCCCAAACGAAAAAATATTTTAAGTAAAAGTGTGTAATAATACCATAAATATAAAAATAAAAAAAAAAATAGAAAATGTTAAAACCCTTGCCACAAGATGCTTTTTTTCGTGTAAGACCCCCATCTGAGCTAATGATTCCGCAGCATTTTATTAACCAACAAAACACAGCAGCTTTATTCCAACAACCACACGGACATGATGTTTTTTTAAATGCAAATAATTTTGAAGATATACAAAATGCTGTTGGTATAGATAATTTACCAGGTTCAATAAATCCACACTCGGCTACCACTTTAAATCCAGATCCAAGCTTTTGTCCCGTTTGCGGACAATCATTCATTTTACCTAGTTTATTGCTAGAACATATGCATTTGGTTCATCAAAGTGAACTACTTCTTCCAGGTTTGGAAAATAATATTACTTACTCTTGTCAACAATGTGACGAAACTTTTCGAACAGCTATTGAACTTGATGATCATATGCGAAGTATGCATCAAATTTTGAAATTTTCAAAATGTTCAAATTGTGGCTTATATGGCGTATCTGCAGGTACTGGTGGAGATTCAAAATGTTTACATTGTGGTGCACCGAATATTTTACAGTCCGGAGGTATTTAATAGAAATTGTTATAAATTTCTACATAAAAAACGAATTCATATATTTAATATAGAATAATTTATTCGATTTAGATTCAGGAAATTTGAAATTATTAAAACCAAATACAAAGCCAATTGAACGAGCTCACAGTAGTGTAAATAATAACCATTCAATAGAAAAATTAAGTACATCAAGTCATGCTTCAGCAAACAATTTGTCGAAATCTTTGACAAAAGAAGTAACTGATCACAATATTAATAAATTATTTCCCCACAAGTTGCCATTACAAAATAGTCATCAATTGGATAGTGACCCGAAGCCAAATGCTGGAACACCTACAAACAGGCGCCATAAATGTCCAGACTGTGATAAAACATTCAAAACAACAGCAACTTTAAATTTTCATAAAAAAGTTCATACCGGAGAAGCTGAGTAAGAAAAACTTATAAAAACGCAATATTTTTTTTTTTCTAAATATTTTTTCACAGATTACATGCTAAAGAGCGGCCATATATATGCGCATATTGCAGTAAAACTTTTACACAAAGTAATACGCTTAAACAGCATACAAGAATACATACCGGCGAGAAGCCATTTCAGTGCACGTATTGCGAGAAATCTTTTAGTGTAAAAGATTATTTAAGTTAGTTAAAAAAAATTAAAATTCTTTCAAATATTAATTGAAAACTATTTTAGCGAAACATATAAGAACACACACGGGGGAAAAACCATATAGCTGTACTTACTGTGAAAAGAAGTACGTTACTATTTTTAATTATAACAAAAATTTTATTTATTTTTATGTTCAATATTTTATGTCAGGTTCACCCAAAGATCTGCTTTAACCGTGCACACTTCGAAATTGCACCCTATTTGATGCGGTCCATCAATGTCTAGTACAGCAACAGCAACTACAATTTCAACATCAAAGTCTTCTACATCTCTATCTTTAACACCATCTGCAGTAACAGAAACTGCATCAACCGCAACAACAACAGTACCGATAAATAGACAAACATTTCAAAGAACTTCTCTTTTAGGAAACGAAAATAGTGTAAATAAAAGTGATATAGCCCTAAACAGTAACCTGAATAGCAACAGTAGTAATAATATTAACAACAGTCACAGAAGTTATATCAGTCCGACAATTAAAAATAACTTTCATAATTATGCAAATTATAATTATAGTTGTTTGCCATCAAATTTTGGTAGTTACAATAACTACTCATATGATTGCTGGCGAACAAGTATCGATCCTGGAGGTGCGGGGTCAAATTCGGCAACTAGTAATTACGTATATTTCTATTAACAATTTGATTTTTTATTCTAACTTTTTATTATACATACAAGCATGAAAAATGACGTGCAAAAACAGAACAAACTTTTGTGCGGAAACTATTTTAGATATCTGTATTATAGCAATGTTTGTGTTTTGATAATCTAAAAAAATTACTCAAATAGAGAAATTAATTATTTTTTTAAACACCTGACAAGTAAATGATTTTTAGCAAAGTCAATATTTTAGCAGTTTTAAATAAAATATTTTTAGGTTGTTTTAGTTTTTGAAAAAATGAATAACGAAAACTAAGATCGTTTAAAGACTAAAATAAATTTTTAATACAATTGTAGTGATTATAAAAAAAAGATAAAATAATTTTACATGAAATACCTAGACATATATTTATATAAATTATATCAAATTCTGTTTTTATCAAGATACTAAAAAAGTTTTTTAAATAACAATTTATTTATAAGAATTATTAAGAAATTATATAATTTACCTATTTAATTATGTAAAGATTGAATTAAAGAAATAGATAAATAAAATTTGTATAATAAATAGCTACACTTTTATTTGATTTTCAATTACATAAAAATGAAATTTTTTGATATAATGTAACTTGTTTATTTAAAACAGTAAATGATAAAAACAAAAACAAATTATTTTCAAAATCATTTGGCGCTGAATTCGTTTAAGCTTTATGAAGTTAATATAATAATAAAATATGAAAAAATCTATATAATAATAATAACGCGATAATTATTTATTTTCTTACTTTTAAAAATTTAATTGAGATTATTGAGTATGCTTAGCGGCTTCATTAATTGCTTTCAATTGTTCTGCTGAAGGAAAATGAGTGCACGATATACGTTCGCCTTTTGCGAGCATTTCAGCAAATTCAGTAGGATGTGTAGCTTTTAAATGTCGATGATATGATACTTTATGAACAAATCTTTCACTACATATGCGACATTCGTAGGGTTTTACACCAATATGAATTATTAAATGACAGTGCAAATCTTTAGATCTCTTAAATTCCTTAAACAGTTAAATAGAAAGTCAATAAATATTAATTTTAAAATACTACCTACTTTGTTACAAAAATTGCACTTAAAGTCTTTTACATCTGAATGGACCACCATATGTTTTTTGAGCAGTTGTTTCGTGTTTAAGAGAATACCGCAAATTGAACAAGGAAATGATTCTCCATGAATTAATGTATGTGCCTTATTGAAATTCAAACATGACAAAAAGAACCAGGCAACAATAAATCAGTATTATAATTACCTTTAACCCAACTTTTGCTTTAAATCTTGCGGGACAATATGGACATTGTAAGTTTTTTACATTTGAATGACTGATTTTATGTTTGGCCAAATGACGTTTTGTACGAAATTCTTTACCACATTCTTCGCATATTACAACTTGTTTTTTATCGTGAACTGAATGTATGTGTGACCATCTTCCACCCTCTGAATTGAATTTTTTTTCACAATGTGGGCAAGATAATTGCTTACGTTCGCCACAGGGTAAATGTGCATTTTCATGAGCTTCCAGTCTTGATCTTATTTCAAATGTTTTATCACAAAATTTACATTTATATGGATCTTTCAGAATAGAATGCTTTATTTTCATGTGAACTGTTAATCCTCCTTGATTTGAAAATTTTTTTTCACATATTTTGCACTGAACAGGCTTTTTCTTAAAATCCTTCACATTATTTACCTTTTCTAGTTTGTTTGCATTAGATATATTTCCAGCACATGTTATTTCCTTAATTTGGTAAGATTGTTTAAAATTTTTAATGCTAATTTCACATTCAATGTCGTTCAACAAACTGTAATTAGACGCATCTCCTGAATTCGATGTTCCAATCAAATCACCGACTCCCTTAGCTTCTTTTAAAATGTTTTCCTCGTGTGACTCTTTTATATAAATTAAATTAGTTTACGAATTTTTTTTTAATATTGAAAATACTTGCAAATTAGTGTGTATCACATATTACCTATCAATTCCGGAATTGATAATACATCAGCTTCTTCTTTGATTACATTAGCACAAGTAAATTTATATTTGCTACGTAGATATTCCCAATTATCTGAACTATTTTGTAAAAATTCAATAAACATTTGTTGAGTATTAAAAGAGTTAGTTATGAAATCTTTTAAACTCATTATACTAACATAACAGTTGTTGCATATTTTAGATGGCAAATTGATTCTATTTTCCAACTACAATCGAACAAGTTGTTAAGAAATAAAATACGTAAATTGTAATTTCTAATGTAACACTTAAATACCTTTAAGTTACAAAACTTAACTAAGTCCTCTGCAATAGCAAAATTACTCTCCGGATCTCTAACAAATATATCTATTTCACCTGCTTCGCCACAAGCGCAAAGTCTGCACAAACTTTTCCACTCTTCCATTTTTATGTACCTTTTTAAAAAGATTTTTAAACAAGATCAAATTTAAAGTTCTGCATTTTGCAATAAAAAATTAATTTCAAAAAATATTCGCAAATTTCTTATCACAATATGTCATTGCAAATATTTTAATTTTTATCCTTATAAGATAACAAGATTAATAACAAGATGTTTAAAGTTAATCAACACTAAATAGTTTTTTGTAGTATTTTTTTTTCAAAGTTGTCCGTCCAGTGAAACTCGAAATGAAGAAGTCTTTCATTCTTTACTACATTCAGCCAAGTTAAAACTTAAATCTTTGAAAAACGAAAAACTAAAAATGTCGTGCTATTTAAAATTTCTAAGAATACTTGAAATCTTAATCAACTTCATGCACATATTCATATTGCTTATGAACTCATATGTACATTCCATGGCTGACAGCAATATTGATATTTTTGTTATGTCAAGATATACACTCTATTCTCATGTAATAAACATGTGACATTCAAACAATAAACAAATAAAATTATTGGCTTAACAATTTTTACGTTTTTCAATTTTTGACAGTTTTTTGACGGGTTCTCCAGGGTCGAAATCGTTCTTGTTTTTTATAGCAGATTAAGGCTATTGACTTTTATAGTTTTAAAACTTTCGATTACTCAATCAACTCAATAAAAACCCTTTTTAATGAGGTATTTTTGCTGCTACCTGACAAAACTTAAAACTCCAAGTAATTTTTTATGTAACTAAAGTTTTCATGATTTTTTCTTCAAAACCCATAAGTTTTAGGGTAATCAGATCAAATTTAAAGTTCTGCATTTTGCAATAAAAAATTAATTTCAAAAAATATTCGCAAATTTCTTATCACAATATGTCATTGCAAGTATTTTAATTTTTATCCTTATATAAACACTAACCAGAAACCTTTTAAGTTTAAATAAACTTTTAGAGGCTTAAATTTTACCGTTCACTTGTTATTTTGTTTTTTTTTTTCAAATTCCATTGATATTATTTTGGTAATTACTGTTTTCATTCTTTTTTTTTTATTGGTATGAAAAGGAAACTTCCTTTTATTCGGAATAAAATACTGTTTTTTATTTTTGATAATATATTTCGTGCGCTACATACGCACTTTTTCAAAGCTGATTTTCTCCGAATAAAAGGAAGTTTTCTTTTCATACCAAAAAAAAAAGAATTATATTTCGGAAAAATTATCAACCATTGAAGAATTTTTTGAATGCTGTTTTCATATTATTTTTGGCAGCGTGTAAATGGGGAGATAACGACTATAACGTCAATATTTTTTCAATGAAAAACCTTGACATAAAACAATATCAGCGGTTGAACCTGGACACCTTTTTCTTGACATTTGTGAATCATTTTCGTTTTCATTTCGAATCATTGAAAAATTAATTTCTTTTAAATTGTTTTATAATTTCTATATAGAATAGAAATTATAGAATTTTATATTTTTCTATATAAAATAGAAAAGTGTATTACTTATAATATTATTTTGAAATTTTTTTTTTAATTTATCCACGTATGTGTTAAAAAAAGAATGTACAAAAATTGTTTATAACCGTCATTTTGATTATCAAGTATGCTTAGCTGCTTCATTTATTGCTTTTAGTTGTTCCGGGGGAGGAAAATTACGAGAAGATATTCGCTCACCTCTTGCAACCATATCAGCAAACTGAATGGGATGTGTAGCTTTCAAATGTCGCCGATATGTCATATCGTGTACAAATTTTTGACTACATATCCTACATTCGAAAGGCTTAATACCAATGTGAGTTATCAAATGATAGTTTAATTCTTTAGATCTTTTAAAGTCCTAAAAATTAAAAAAAAATCTAATATAAAAACAAAAAAAATATAATATCAAAATACCTTGTTACAAAAATTGCATTTAAAATTTTTTACATCAGAATGCACTATCATATGCTTTTTTAATAATTGTTTGGTATTCAAAAGAACACCACATATTGCACAAGGAAATGATTCGCCGTGAATTTCTATATGCGCCTAAATTACGAAATATAAATACAACTCAAAGAAAAACTATATGCAATTTTATTACCGTTAATCCAACTTTTGCTTTAAATTTAGCAGGACAATGTGGGCATTGCAAATTTTTTTCTTGAGAATGACTAATTTTATGTTTGACTAAATGATGTTTTGTAGAAAATTCTTTCCCACATTCTTCACATATAACTGCTTTTTTCTTATCATGAACCGAGTGTATATGTGACCACCTACCACTCTCTGAGTTAAACTTTTTTTCACAATGTGGACACGATAGTTGTTTACGTTCTTCAGAGGGCAAATGTGCATTTTCATGAATTTCTAATCGTGATTTTCTTTCAAATGTTTTCTCACAAAACGAGCATTTATATGGATCTTTCATTATAGAGTGTTTTATTTTCATATGAACCGTTAAGCCACCCTGATTTGAAAATAATTTTTCACATATTTTACATTGGAATTCTGTGCATTTCTCGTCCCGATCTTTTCTAATTTTTAATTTATTTGTTCTACTTTTTTTCAAAATATCATCTGAATCTGCTGTTTTTTTAATTTCATCTGATTTTGTTGGACAAATTTTGTTTTCAAGACGATTTGAAAACGTACCATTCAAAGATTCTTCTGCTTCTTTTAAAGCTTCGATATCTTCAAATCCTTCTTGAATATAGATATCAAAGCCTTCATTAGAAGTTATTGAATTTTCCTGAGTAGATTCATTTCTTTCATTCACGAAATCAGAATTAAATTGACATGTGTCTTCTATAAAAGAATCGGACTCAGTTTTGATTTCAGTAAAACAAGGTAATCTGTATTTTTTACGTAATTGATCGTGGTCACTCATATAGTCTTCAACAAATTCAACATACATTTTTTGAGTCCTAAAAACTATTTTGAGGAACTTTTTTAAATTTTTTATGCTAAGATTGCAATTGTTGCATATTTTTGAAGGTAAATCATTTGTACTTTCCAACTGAAATTTTTGTAATACATTAAACGCAAATTTAATACTCATTTACGAGTATATTATTTAACATAAATTATAATTTTCAATTCCCACCTTTAAATTGCATAACCTTTCCAAATCTTCTGCTATGCTGCAACTATTTTCAAAGCTTTTAAAAAATATATCGATTTCATTTATTTCCTTAGAAGCACAAAATCTACACCAGTTTTTCCACTCTTGCATTTTTTTAATTGAATAGTTAAAATAGCACAAGCTTGTTTTCATTAATTCTTTTCTTGCAATAACATTTGCGTATATTCTTTTTTAAATTAAATAAATAGTTATACCTTCCTTGAGGTATAAAAATATTTTCTATACATATATAATATATATATATATATATATATATATATATATATGTGCATATATAATGCATATGTTAATAATAATTTTATATATGTTAGTTCAATTTACGAGTAAGATTAAGTTTTAAGATATGCCTCTTTAATATAAAAAGCGTCTGGGTGAAATAAAATATTCACAAAATATCAAAATATACCGAAACATAAGAAATTAATAAAAATATTTACATTTTTGTTTACAAATGTTGATAATTCACAATTTTAGAATATAGTCATAATACTTTGAAACGAAACGGCATCACTTATTTTACTCCTGCTTTAGTACACTATTCTACCCACAGGTACTTTATAAACTGACGGTCACTTCTAACAAAAATTCCATTTAGCCGCTTAATTTTAATGGGTTGAATGATATCTTTGACCGTGATTGACAGTCACTTCACACAAAAGTATCATTCAGCCCAATTAATTTTAATGGGCTGAATGATATTTTTGTGGGAAGTGACCATCAATCATTTAGGATAGTATATGCATATATGTAAATACTCCGGCTGTCTTAGAATACATAATTAAATATTATATTTCAGCTCTTGTCTCGAAGATTTAGACCTATATTAAATTATTTTGAAGTAGATTTGGAAATAGTATTTCGCAGTTTTTTCAGAATATTTTTTTTTTTGAGTTAATATACTTTGTCTATGAGTGCAATATGAAGATTGAAAATAGATAGCTGTCAAAACTAGATAAACAAATTATTTGTTTTATTTGGAATTTAAAATTTTTCGAAGCCATTAATTCTTTAAAATTTATTAAATACAGAACCTACTTCGGAAAAAAATAAAATTTAAAAGAAATTTAAATTTTATGTTAAGCAAACCTACATTTCCACCAGATTCTAATAAAAAAGTAAAGGAAATTGATGTAAATTTGCTACGATTTATAAAAATTGTATTAAATTTTAGGTTGAAAAATCGAAGTATTTAATTCCTTATTATAAAATTAAAGTTTTATTTTTAAATTAAATCTAATACAATGTTAGAGTGGAAAAGTTGGTGTCGACTGTGTGGTTGCGAAGGATGTAACGAAATTGATATATTTTTTAAAGATATGGAAAATAATGCAACCATAGCGGATGATTTAAAAAAATTATGCAATCTGAAAGTAAGGTTTTAATTTTTTGGCTATTAACTACGTTTTTTTTTATAAATTCCTATATTTTTATATTTTAACATTATACTTGAAAAATATTAAATTGTAGTTGGAGAACACTACTGATTTACCATCAAAAATTTGTAACAACTGTAAAGCAAACATAATTAATTTAAAACATTTCTTATCAAGCACAATTAAAATACAAGAAATGTTTACTGAATTACTGTGTAGTAATAAAAATGATTTTGATGACTTAAGAAAGAAGTACAATCTACATAATGGTACCAATATAAAAGAAGAACAAGATATTTTTTCTGTTTTAGAATCACCGTATAACTATGAAGATATTAAAGCTACTCATTCCATAAGAAGTCAGAACGATGAAAATATGTTAGAAAAAAGTGATTTATTTCAAAAGAATCGCTTAAACGATAGCGTAGATACACATTTTGTGAATACGAAAGGTAGTGAATTTAGCTATAGATTTAAGGCAGAACAAGATGCCAGTGAAATAGAACTTTTTATAGAAGAGGATAAAAGGTTAATTAACTTCAAACAGTTTGAAAAATTAAACATGCAAAGTCACATTGAAATGGTAAAAGGTGAAAAAAATACACCAAAAAAAGGTAAAATATCTATTAAGAAAAAACAAAATAAGATTCCAAAAGATGTAAAAAGGATATCCAAAACTTTTCAATGTAAAGAATGTGAAAAGAATTTTTTAAATCAAGGTGGCCTAACAACACACTTAAAAATAAGTCACTCTATAACAAAAGCACCTTATACCTGCAAATTTTGTGGGAAAAGCTTTGAGAGACGACAACGATTAGAAAACCATGAAAACGCGCATTTGCCATCTGATGAGCGAAAACTTCTATCATGTCCTCATTGTGATAAAAAGTTTAATTCAGAAAGTGGTAGATGGTCACACATTCATACTGTTCATGATAAAGAAAAGGCTGTTATATGTGAAGAATGTGGAAAAGAATTTTCTACAAAGCATCATTTAGGTAGACATAAAATAAGTCATACACAAGAAAAAAATTTTCAATGTCCAAATTGTCCTGCAAGATTCAAAGCCAAAGGTGGATTAGCGGTAAAATAAATATATTTTACTAACTTTTTTTATTAACTCTAAAAGTTTTCATACGTTTCTTCTATACAGGCACATATGCAAGTTCATGGTGAATCTTATCCGTGTTTGACATGTGGGGTACTTTTAAAAACAAAGCAATTGCTAAAAAATCATATGGTTGTTCACTCGGACGTTAAAAATTATAGATGCAATTTTTGTAAAAAGGTTACTGATTTTTCTTTAGTTTATGCTGACTACAACCTAAATTTACATTTTTTTTACAATAAAGATAGGCATCTACATATATAATTTTAAATTATATCCAAATTTTGTATAATACCTTTGTAAATGAAATTTTGCGGCGATAAATTTAAATGTCGAGGCGAGTAATTAAAAAAAAAATAAACAATGTTCTTTTTTAGGATTTCAAAAGGTTAAACGATTTAAATTATCATTTAATAACACATATTGGAATAAAACCATATGAATGTCGTGTTTGCAATCAGAAGTTTGTACATGATATGACATATCGACGACATTTAAAGTCTACACATCCGATACAATTTGCTGAGATGATTGCAAAGGGCGAACGAATTTCTTGTCGGAATTTCCCACCACCGGAACAATTGAAAGCAATAAATGAAGCAGCCAAGAATACGCACGATTATCAAGATAATGTAAAAGCAGAAAATGTTGTAGGAAAGACTAATTGAACTCCTTCACAATTTAATCAGTGTCGTAAAACTAGTTAAAATTTAACTTAATATAGCTGTTATATAACTTAATACATATTCACAAGATTATTATAAGGATCTTTTGTAAATAAATATTTTGACAATGCTGAAAATATGTACATACACATTAGTTATTTTTCATTTTGTTTCTAAAAATAAAAATATACAATTTACTAAATTAATTCTTTTTATTGTTTTTCTTCTAGAGACAGTCATTAAATAATAATCCCTGCAGAAATCATCGCTTCATATACTTATGTAAATATTTATGAAAAAATATGAGTTTTGGAGCAAGATGATAAAATTTCGGAATATGTCTTTTTTTTATATCCAACCATATCGCGGCTGACAAGAACACATACGATATTTTTGTTATATCAAGCATATAATTTTTTCTAGAATATGTAGAATAACTTGACTGATTCTTTAATATTATAAAATCTGAAGAAACAGTTTTAAAAAAATAATGGAAATAAAGTTTACCATTAAGCTTGCTAAAAAATGCCGCCAAAATATTTAAATAAATTTAATTTGAAGAGTTAAAGCTTAAGTTATTTCGTGTTTTCCTTGTTTTAATAACTTCTGACATGTTTTAATTGTTTTCAAAACGTTAAGTTTTTTTTAATCGAAACATTACTCTTATTATTCAACAGGGATTTTCAACGTATTCAACAGGGATGCAGCGGATGTTATAAATGAAACATTTCACTCCACAAACTCCTGGCTTTCCAACTTATAATTTGGTTTTAATTTTGTCAAATTAAAATTTTCCATAAAAACTTATTAATTTTATATTCATTTTCCTGATAAATTTATTAATTTTATATTCCTTTTCCTGATTTCCTGTTTTAACTGAAATTAAATTGTTTACTTTTAAGTAGGTTATTAATATTTACAAACTATTTGTAACGATGCATATATTATTTTGAAATTATTTTCCATTTTAAATAATGAAATAAATAAATACTTCGCATTTCAAATTTTCATTCCTTTTTTTTTGAAAATGCCTTAAATTTTAAATAAAGTTCTTAAATAAACTTTTGCCATTAACATACTAAAAAATAATAATATACTAAAAAATACGCGTGTACAAACATTTTGTAGATTTTGAAATTTTTGTTATTCGTACATTTTCATGAAAACGTTATATATATACTAGCTGTTCTAATCTTTTATTTTGATTGAAAGCAAACTGACATTTCGCATTTCACCCCAAAAGTTTTTGAAAAATTACATTTTTAGCCGAAAAAATGTAATGATGCAAAACTTATTACCATTTAAAAAAAAAATAAACTTCCTAGCATATCCCAATTCTAAAAACAGAAGTTAGAATATGTAAATATCCTAAGCTATTGTTGTTAGATTTTGGCAATGCTTAAAAAAATTAGGATGTCGCTTACTAAAGTCATAAATTGTCAATTATTGACAAAAGTAAATTTAAGCTATAAACGTCAAAAGTTGCCTAAAAAAAGTGATTTACAATTGTAAAGAGTTAGTTTTTATTACATTCGATATATTTAATATATAAGAAAATATTGTAAAAGGAGCAGATAAAAAATAGGTGTAGGTTTAAAATATTCAGAAAGCTAAGGCAAATAGAACAATAATATTAAGATTGAAATTGACTCTTTCAACTACAACTTAGTCACAATGGAAGAAACGCGTGCCGAAAAAGTTTATGGAGGATGTGAAGGTCCTGATGCAATGTACGTTAAACTAATATCTTCAGATGGACATGAATTTATAGTGAAAAGAGAGCACGCACTGACTTCTGGTACAATTAAAGCTATGCTTTCTGGTCCAGGTCAATTTGCCGAGAATGAAGCTAATGAAGTGCATTTCAGAGAAATCCCGTAAGAAAATTTAAAATTTAATTAAACATCCTTATAAAATCATTTATCATTCGAATTAAGTTATGCTAAGTTTTTTGTAATAAATGTTTGAATTTTTTTTATTTAATATTCATGATATTGCCGATATCTTAAAAAATTAAACGCTTAAATACTTAGGATTCTGTAAACGTTTTATATATAGTATAAGTTTTGACGGAAGTGAAAAAAAAAAGAAAATTATCCGTGCAGTGAAAATTAAAGAACGATAAGCATAAAAAACGTTTATCTTATCAGTTTATTTAGTGATAACCTAGGATTAAATTCGGAAGTTATCTTTTAATATAAGAAAGACAAAAAAAACCCAAAATTCCAATAGTATTTCGGGAAGATTCAATATTTTTTTTTCGAATCATGCATTTGGGTTTATCTTTAATACTTTGTTTTACTTTTTTATTAATCGGTTTCTTCACTACAAATAGATTCATGTTATGTCTTGATAAACGTTTTAGCACCAATATTTAATTTCGTAATATGGATCTCTTTTCAATATTCGTCAGAAATTATTTTCTGGCTTCAAATTTTTTATTAATTTTTATTAATTTTTATTTTACAGATCGCATGTACTACAGAAAGTTTGTATGTACTTCACTTATAAAGTTCGTTATACAAATAGTTCAACAGAAATTCCAGAATTTCCTATTGCTCCTGAAATTGCCTTGGAACTGTTAATGGCGGCCAACTTCTTGGATTGCTAAATCAATTGTTTTAATTTTTGTTGTTTAAAAAACCATTATTCAAATTTGAGAATAATAATTATTTATACTTTATCTGATAAACATACTGACGTATCATAATTTTGATTCGATTAAACTTTTTCTTTAAAGAAAATAAATTAATGGATTAGAATATAATTTTTTTTTTATAATATGCAGTAAAAACAGGATGAATAAGAATTTGAAAACTAAATTTTAACACAATAATTGAAAAGATTTTTTTGTTTTTTAGATTATTTAAATTGAAGTTTACTATCCTTCAAGAGGTTTTTTATTATATTACGAAAATATTAGGTTTCAAGTAAAAATATTTATTTTCTCTTATTTTTTCTTTTATATTTCACATTCAAATTTAGTAATGAATGTAAAAAATATTGCATAGCAATTTTAAATTATTTGTAATTCGCCTAAACAACAGCGAATAAACCACAGATTTTATAGGGAAAGACGGTATCTTAATAAAAATCATAAATTTACAATATTTTATTTTTTATTATGTAAAGATGAAAATATTTTAATTTACATTTAATACAAAATAAAAAAATTACGAAAAAATTAAACTTTTGTTATATTAATTCCATACCGCCAATATAAAAATAAAACAAGGGTTTAATGTAATAATATATTTATTATCTAAATACATAGTATATGATGCACTGCTCAAAATAGATTAAGGAATTTTGATAGTTCAGACATGTGTTTAAATTTCTTTTTTGATAACATTACAGATCTTCAGGAACTAACTAGTTTACTTTATCAGATTTTTTTTATCTTATTTGATTTTTAATCTTTCTATAATATATAATAATATTTCTATGTGATTAATTTGAAATTTAAATATAATTTTAGTTTTTTTTTTAAATATACTTTAGAACTTTTTTTCTTCTGTATTTATCGAACATGTTACATTTTAAGATTTTGTAATTTTAATCTATTGAACATGCTTTATTTTAAGGTTTAAGTTAGAAGTGAATTTTCAAAAAATCTGCTAAATACTGTACAAAATTTCCATATTAAGTTAATTATCATAAATCCTTATTAAATCATTAATGTTCATTGGCAGGCTTGTTACTGGACAAATTTTCCTATTTTCTAAATGCGTAGCTATACATTTCCAACAAAATACATATCCCGATATGCCGCTAGCTGTTGGAATGCTAGGTATTTGCAAGCAAATTGGACATTCATTTTTATTATTTAAAGCTAGGATATTAATTTCTGTATTTTTGAAACAAGGTGGATTCTTTAAATTTCCAATATTATTGCTTTCAGGACGTATGTACCACCACTGCATAAATTGTAAAAAAAATGCGAAAAATTCAACTGATTTCAATATTATAGATGTTGCCCTTTCTTCTGTCCCTTGACTGTATGATAACTTAAGACCTAATATGTGGAATATTGGTGAATGCGTTGAGCTGATTTTAACAAGATAAGTTAATATGTTGATTGCTTTTAGAATTTGCAGGAAATAAATACCATTTAATAATAGCTTTTCCATTATATTTCTATTTTCATGATTAGCAGCTCTTGTTTTAAGTTTTTTTTCTAAATAAGGTAATAAGACTAATAATAGAGCTGAATGAAAATGCATTTTAAGTGACGTATCATTTCTTGTTATTCTTTGTAAACCATAAAAACTTTCACCAAATGAAGCATCACGTTTTTTTAAATAAAAGTACTGTAAAGCTAGAGAAATAGCTGGAGAAACATCGTCACTGAATTTTATATACTTGTTTTTTATAGCAAATTTTAGCCCAAGAAAATCACAAATTTTACTCAAAGCTGGATACAACACACTGTCTAGAAATTCTGACGCAGTAACTTCAAAAATTGATGGTAAATAATGAAGATTTGCGGTAAAAGTAACACTTTCTGCCATTTCGATTATGTTCCCATTTATTTTCTTTATTATATCACTTTATTTCTACAAGACAAATATTCTAATTTTAATTCATGTTTGATACAACATATGATTTTGATATTGGAAGAAGATTTTTTGATACAAAAATCATAGACCAAAATCATATATAGTGATAGAAAAATCATAGACGAATAAAGTTATCATCGCAAATACTCGTTTTCGTGCTACAGCCTGTTGAAAAAATTAGTGCCAGATTTTTCCTGTATATAAATAAGCGGTTATGCCTTCGGAACTATGCCACTTCGAGTTACTATGAAGATCATTTTAGAGGTGATTGATTGCTTTTTACTTTCGGCCTACAATTAATTAAATTTGAGCCATAGTTTTTGAGCTAAAGCTGGTCAGAATCAGAATAATTTTTTTTTTTTACTTTTTTTTAAAAACTCGAAATTTCTCGCATATTTGAAAAATATATTTGTGTCAAATATGCATTTTTTGCTTGTTTTTGAAATACATTTAATAGGTTTTACTGGCAAAACTATCAGACATAGAGGAAAATGTTATATGGGTTATATAGAAGAAAATAAATAACATAAGTTTTGTATGAAAATAAATGTGGCAAATTTTCCAATATGAATTATAATTTTCGGCTAACACCCAAAAAAAAAGAAAATCTAACATAATTTAAAATTTAAATCAATTAAAATTTACAGCAAATATTACTTTTGGCGACAAAAGTAAGATTTTCAAAAGAAAAATTTTAAGCTTATTATTAATAACTTTCAGTATCTTTGTAGAATATCTTGGTAAATTAATTTGTTTAGTTCAAAAATTGTGTTGCGTTAGGAAAAATATTTCGCTGACTGAAATACTGTAAAGGAAATATAACTTTTCATAGCTTTTGTTTTTTTTTTAAATTATTTTTCTTTCAAGAAATAATTTTTTATTGGATTAACAATTTTTGAACATTTAAAGTAGCAAATTTATGACTTTGCAAAAACAGTTATTGTATAACAAATTATATTGTATAGCAAGAGAAAATTTAGGACCGGTAGTCTGGTTATTGCTTGTGTTAACTTATGAATATGTTGTTTTTCAATGTTGCAATGTAAGCTCTGAGTTTAAAAACGAGTATGATAGAAATATAATAATTTTCCATATTTGAGGTGTCAAAATAGTATATAATTTCTGTGAAATCTGAAATTTTTTTCGAGATTCAAATGTGATTTGAATATGCTCCTATAATAAAAAAAGAACACAGATTTTTAGCATAGAAACGGCCATATTTAATTATTTAAATATGACTGATATTTAATATTTCCGGCCCAAATTGATTCAGTTCCAACTTTGACTTATTTTACAAAATGAATAGTTTGTCAAAATTATAGGAGTTCAAAATATACATTTTTTTTACGCAACAACACCTATTACATTACAGACATATTTTATTAAACTGATTATATGAGTTCAAAATATACATTTTTTTACGCAACAACACCTATTATATTACAAGCATATTTTATTAAACTGATAATAGAGTCCATAATAGCGACAAATGACTAACTAAATAATAAGGACCTGATTGCCTATCTCGCTATTTTACTCGGCGAGTGAGAAGAAAGCGAGTAACTATTATATGTAACCTCAATGAAATAGACGTGAACATAGAGAGTATAATCGTTGCCTATTTTTTATTTTCTTTAAAGTTAAAAACAGAACAACAACGATTTTCCGCGGTGAAATGTCGGAATCCGTATGGAATATACATTATATATGTGTTTTAATAGAACTGCCTTAAATTGAAATTGCTGCCGCAAATTTAGCCGCCTAAAATACTATTTTGCCGCTGGGATTTTTTTTTCACAAAACCTGTTTCCATGTGTGTGTGACAGTATATACAAAATACTGAACAGTTGATTTTGACGCTCCGCTTTTGTTCTGCGTTAACAACGGATATCGTCCGCCGCTGTCACTCAGCGCTTTGGTTCTGTTTTCACAATAATGAGATTTCATATTTACCCATTTTCCGAAAAATAAATGTATATTTTGGAAAAATATTTTCGTTTAAATCCATAATTTTAGTAGATCATTTCTATTTAGTATTTCTGTCAGCCTTACTTATGTACATACGGAGTGTGCATCTAAAGTCGTATACATTGAAATAAATAAGAAACTCATATTCTGAAAAGATTCTTAAAAATTATAAAGCAATGGAGTAGGTTAATTTTCAATAATACATAATACGAATAGCATAAATGTAGGTAGAGAAGAAGAAATAGGGAGAGGAGAAGAAATATTCAACCACAAAGATTATGACGTTTAAAAAAGAAATTGTATTGTCAGTGTCACTTGAAAAGTTAAAGTAATTTTGCTAAAATATACGAGTTGTTTTGAAAGCTATAGTTTTTGTATTTATTCTGTTTTTAGAGCACAAGCATATATGTACATACATAGGTACATTTGTGTGCATATATTAGCATTTGTTGTTGGTGGAAAATCGTATTTTTCCTGTCAGCAGTGGTGTTTATTTTATAAAATTGTGTTAAAATTAAAACTTTGGTGCTATAAAATTGAATTATAATTTAAATAAAATAGAAACAATTAAATAAAATAAAAACGCCTAAAATGAGCGTACAAAAGGGACTTACAACAAAAGGCAAAGAAATGTACTTATACGAAGGTTTTGAATATATATATCATTAGTAAGTATCTTTTATTTGATTTCTTATAATCTTTGAACATTAAGATACACATGTATGCATATGTAGGTAAATACGTGTAGTATAGGCCGAAAATATTGTTCTTCGTTAATTCTATTTCGATTTGTAGAATGAATTTGCGTTGGCCTAATATTTCTCATATATAAACTCCATTAGATACATTCAAAACCGATTCCCATGTACATTTATAGAGATTTATTTAAATTTGCTAACTCAACATTCTTCTCTCCTGTATCTTTGAGTTTTATGATTCTACTGGTCCAGTATCAGTTTTACTTGTTATGAATCAACTTTTCTTTTATAAAGGACTAGTAATCTGTCCATAAAAAACCATAATCCGAACATGCATAGGTATACTGAATTAAAAAATTATATCCAATTAAAAAACAATTTAACAAATAAATTGAAACCTACATAAATACTTACTATCCTCATTCTAGGATACTTGACACCTGTTGTTTTTATTTTATTTTTTATTTTATTTTATCTCAATCTACTGGGAAATAACCCTTACAGATTTTGGAATAAAAAATACAAAATCAGCTTAAAATTAAGTAAAGAAAAAATTAAACAAATAAAACAAAATTCATTATATGTATATAGTATATAATAAAATTAAAGCTTAAGTACTATTGAAAAATTTGGTGACATCTCTTCTAACTTTATCTCTATTAGAATCAAAATCAATTTCAGAGGAACAAATGTTAAATAAACGTTGAGAAGAAACTATAGGCTCGCAAAAGCCATAATTAGTTCTATGCGAATGAAGATATAGAAAACGACGATTTCTGACAGCATGTGCTGGGGCGTAAATATTATATAAATTCAAAATTTCTGGGCAATTTATTCTCGCAGATAAAACATCATAAGAAAACATTACAGAAGCAACATTACGTCTACATTCAAGAGTTTGAATATCAATGAGTTTACATTTGGCAATGTATCCAGTGGTATTCAATTCCCAATTAAATTTACGCAAGCAAAACCGAACCATATTCTTCTGGACAGATTCAATACGCTTTATATGATTTTCGTACGATGGCATCCAAATAAGAGCAGCATATTCGAGGTGAGGACGGACCAACGAGACAAATAAGCTTTTAAATGTATAGGGATCAGAAAAATGTGCAGACTGCCTCTTGATGAAGCCCAGCATAGAAAAAGCCTTTGAAATTACATGGTCGATATGAGGATTCAAAGTAAGCCTGTTATCAAGAATTATCCCCAAATCCTTTATTTCCTCGACACTATCTAATATAAAATTATTCACCCTATAGCTAAAATTATTGGAATTATTTGTTCTATACAATCTCATGACCTTACATTTTTCTACATTTAACATGAAACCATTCGAAGAACACCAGTTATAAAATTTATGAATATTTAACTGGAGCCGATGACAATCCTCCACTGATCTAATAATAGAAAACAATTTTGTGTCATCAGCGAATGATAAAATAGAACAGTCAATATGACAAGCACAATCATTTGTGAATAAAAGAAAGAGCAAAGGACCCAAATGCGTTCCTTGAGGAAATCCAGAGGTAGCTAGAAATGAATAAGATTCACAATTGGAGATTTTAACTGAAATTTTGCGCTCTAATAAATAAGAACGTATCCACTTCAAAGTTGTACCATGAAAACCTAGTGCTTGTAGCTTAGAAAGAAGTTTAAAATGATCTACTTTATCAAAAGCCTTAGATATATCAGTGAAAATAGCGTCCACCTGGAAAGCACGTTCCACTGCGTTGTAGACTGAGTTCAAAAAAATTGATAAATTAGAACTGGTTGATCTACCTTTGACAAAACCATGTTGATTTGGTGAAATAATTTCCTTGGCTAAAAAATAAACTTTGTCAGTGACTATAGCCTCGAATAGGTCTGTAATTTCTAATATCTAATTTTGAACCGTTCTTAAAAATAGTAAAAATATTAGAAAATTTCCACTGATCAAGAAAAACACCTTCTTTCAAAGACCTATTAAAAATTAATAATAAAGGTTCAGATATACCGGATATACAATTTTTTAGTACAGAATTTGGAATCCCATCTGGACCTGTACTTAAGTTATGATCAGATTGGGAAATCTTATTATAAACGTCACCGTAAGTCAATTGCAAATATCCTAAATCTAGAACCTGGTGAACATCGTCATTATAATCCAGTGACTGAGAAATATTAGATTTTTCATAAACAGATTCAAAGTATTTAGCGAACAAATTACATGTTGATTGAATATCAGAAGCTATAGATTCATTATAAAAAATGCCAGTAGGAAAACCAGAAGATCTTTTATGCGCATTGATATATGTCCAAAAAAATCTAGGGTTAGACTTCATATTCGATTCACAAGCCAAAATATAGTTTTTATATAAAAATTTACTTAAAAAATCGAATTCCCTTCGCAACCTCTGAAAGACTATTTTATCTGCTGAAAGCGAGCTGCGCTTAAATTTTCTATAAGCATTATTCTTCGCATTTTTCAAAGAAAGAAGCCTCTTATTATACCAAGGTGGATGCCGAGACCTGATTACACTTTTCTTTGGAATATATTTAGAAATACCTAAAAATAAAATTTTTAAGGTTTTAGGTCGTAATTCTTTAATACTATTTCACGCAGCCTGTTGAATTGCATTTGTCATAAAATAAAAATCGTAAATTCAATTCTTTTCACTCTTTACTATTTATTTTATTTTTTAATATAGGCAAAGTGCGTCCAAATATCTGTATATTTCTGTGGGAGATTTTCCGTTTTTCCCTTGAGCTATATCAACGTTATCTTTCATTTTTTAACTAAATGCTAGTTAACTAAATTTTAAGTAATCTTTAAGTATTGCTTTGAAGCTGTACAAAAACTATGTATGTATGTACATATGTACGTATACATATTTAAAAACTGCCAATAAAAACTTTCCTGTTTATACTTTATTTTGAAAATGTCCTCCGCTCGTTTTATATTGAAAATGACTTCCGCTCGTAAAACAAAAATTTAATTTTGGAAAGACGTTGGCTTTTTACAAACTGAAGAAATACTAATTTTCAAAGTTTACGTTCTTTTTTAATAATATGACTCTATTTTATAACAGCACAGGAAAAGCAGCTACAAAATATGTGTGCAGAGAACTGCGAAAATTTAAATGTAACGCATATCTTATTGTTAATAGAAAAAATGGTATGGTAACTATTCATCGAAGACACATGCATAATCCAAAATTACAGGAATTAAGGGAAGCGGAGCAAGCTGTAGAAAAAATGAAGCGTGCCGTGGAAGTAAGAGGAGAAAATCCAAAATCTGTACGTACATATGTACATGTATTATTAAACAAGTTGCTTTTCTTTTACAAATTACATATAATAAAATTTAGTTGTCTAAATTTAAATTTTCTTGTTATACATTTATATATTTACAGGTAGTGGAAAATTTCCAACCAAACTTGTCTACGAAAGTTTTGCAAGAAATGCCATCTATATCAGCATTGCATAGAAGACTCTCGAGGGCAAATTCGAGACATTGTAATGAAGATGGAGTACCTGTAGGTATGTTGCAGTATCTGCTATATGATTCAGGTACTTCAACTGATGATCGGATGATGATTTTTTGCAAAACTGAAATGGTACGGGAGTTCGAGAAAAGCGATTTATGGTTTTGTGATGGAACTTTCAGAGTTGCTTCACAAAAAATGGGTTTCAAGAAACTTTACACGGTACATTTTTTCAAAAATAATTTCGCTTTTGCAATAATATTTGCATTGATGCAAACAACATCAAAAAAAGTAATATACGAAAAATTTTTTGAGATTATTAAAAATAAATTAAATCTAAGTTTTGGGCCAAAAATGATGATATGCGATTTTGATCACAGGGCAATCATAGCTTTCAAATCGAAATTTCCTGCAACACGAGTTGCAGGTTCCCATTTTCTTCTTGGACAAAATATTATTAAAAGTTTGAAATCCTTTTCTCTTTATAAATTATACGAAGAGGATGCGGCATTCAAATTTTTAATTCAGAAACTATATTGTTTGAGTTTATTACCTCCACGTGAGGTACGTACAGCTTTCTATCTCCTTTGTGAAATCGAATTTACTGAATACCAAGAACTACCGGCAGTTGACAAATTCTTAAAATGTTTCAGAAGGTATTATATTTCATCTCGAGCTGTATACCCAATAAGCTTTTGGAACCACAATCAAACTGTTTTGGATGGTTATCCGAAAACTAATAATTTCTTGAATGGTTTGCATAATATCCTACACAATAATTTCCAGATTGATCCTACACTTCCAAATTTTTTCAAGACTGCGTTTAAACAGATGGATTTGCAGTATGAAAAATTAGTCAAACCTCCTGAGTCATGCTACCCCTCCAACAAATATATCCAGTTGCCTGAGAAGTTAAAAGAGCTGTTGGAAAATTATGTTCTCACTGATGGGCAGCAAAGAAGTACGGATGACATAATAACATTTCTTGGAACAGCTGCCCTTTTAACTCCAATTAAAGATGTATCCCCGATTTCTGCCTCCGATTAGTTTTTAGTTAAACATACTTAGTGGATTAGGCCTATTGGGGACAGCACTCAAAAAAAAAAACGCGCCAAGTCCTCTACCTCTAAGGTGGTGTGGAAAAGGAGGCAAGTCAGTAACAGGGTCAAAGAGCTAGCTCCAGAAGAAGGATGAAATATTAAAAAACGGTTTTTAACGAAAGAATGAAACGAATGATAGAGATGGACTGAACTTTTCCAGTTGAGAAGGTTAAACAGATGTAAAAGGTTGTAAATGGACATGAAATGATGCAGGAACCGCTATTAAATCTAACTGTCTTGTACGAATGTACATTCAACATACACGTATGTACATATATACATGTACGTTGTACATATATGTATGCGTAAAACACATTTTTATATTCTTGTTAATTTATTAACATACACAATTAATTTCCATGTAGATATGGAAATATTCAATTGTCTACGTTTTGTAAAATCTTGTAAAAATAAGTTATTGTAATTAATTTTGTAATTATGTATTACAAAAATATCATTTCTAACCCAACATCTCATAAGCTTCCCTCAGCATGTTTTTTTGACTACTATGCTTTTATATTGATAGTTTTGTTTTTAATATGTAAAAACAAAACTATCAATATTCCACCGTCCATAATATTTTGTATTTATTCTATAATTCATATTATACAGTATGAATTCCAGGATAAAACAAAAATCAAAGAAATATTTTGCCTACTCATTACATAACTGATTATGTAAATGTAAGTATTTTTACAACTTTTGAAAGAAAGTTTTAAGTTTTTCGGAATATCTTGACAAATTTGATTTAAATATTTTTTGGTATTTAATTTTGTGCGTAATATATAAAAATTTCCATTATGACATCCATCATAGATGGAAATTTTGTATAATTCGGTACCTACTTGAATATAAAACTCTAAAATAAATTTTACAAATCGTTTTTTGGATCATTTTAGATCTACAGAAACAATCTAGTTTACCTTTTCAGGTTTTTAATGTCTTACATTTTTCAATATAATTTTTTTCAAACTAAAAAAATCTTTAAAAATCCTATAGAACTTTAAACATGCTATGATTGTCGATCGTGCTGCTCTTGTAATAAAAATTGCAAGTGCTTTATATTAGGTTCAAGTTAGAATTGAATTTTCGAAAATCGCCAATCATTTAAAGTAAAGAGAAAAAAGAGGTATACCTTTTAAGGAAAAATTAAACGCATTGTTCTAGTAGTGTCTTTTAAACTATTTATTTATTTATTATTTTCTTTAATTTGTGTTTTATTTGAATAATTATGTATATCTTTTACTATGTTTATATTATAATTGTAATAAATATATAAACTTATTGAATATTTACGACATTATAATCCAGGCTTTTTATTTGTTCATGTGTTTTTTTGTAAATTAGTTTTTTATTTCTTAATTGAAACAACTTTGAAGAATAATCAACTAAAATGGGAATTTATTAATAATTTGATTATATAAAATGTTAAGATTATTGTAAGAAAAAGTTAATTCAGAACATTAAAAAAAATATACGTTTATTTTAGACTAGAAATTTTTTTTATGTATTTTACATGAGTAGTATACAGTGATAAATATACATATATGTCTATTTGTTTTATTTTCTAATAAATTGTGTGTATAAAAGATGTTCCTTTTTTTAATTTTTTCATTTTTGTTTATTTACTATATAAAAGCAAGAATTTGGAACGATTTAAAGAAAATACATGAAAAACATGTACATATTTTGTATATTTTGAATTTTTTCCTTTTTTGTAGCGGCAATACATGAGTATAAACTTAAGTATATACCCTTAAAACAGTTAAATGAAACGAAATTATAAAGATAGTGTGTAGTATCATAAAAATTTGAAAATTAATAGTTCAAAAAATTTATATAAAACAAATGTGTAATATTTTCATTTAAGGTTTCTGTATAATTTGATTAAACATTAAATTATAGTTTTGTTTTCATTTCGTTTGCATATTTATGAATTTATTAAGGCTTCAAACAAATTTTCCATTCTTGTTATGTTTGAAAGTTTCGTTTATTGTTAATATTTTCGTTAATTCAAATATTATTTAATTAATTCTTTAAAAGGTATTTGAATTTTGTGTGTTGTAATCGAGATTATATATTCCACTAATGTTTATTATCCTTTTCATTCTATTACTTTTATTTTCATTCGTTCGCATTCGATATTTTATTATGTTTCATATATTTTTATTATTAAATTGAAATTTTTGCTTTTGGTATAAAAAATATTTAAATTTCATATAAAAAGCTGTATTTTTTTAAAGTCACTTTATGTTTTACATTACAATGATTTTAAATAGATTATATAATATAATGAAAATTATAATTTTATTTTCATTTTTATATTATAAAAGCATTTATAAACTTATTTTTTGTTCTTCCACATTACAAAAAAAAAAAGTTTTTTCAGACTTAAAAATTATTAACTAGGTATAAATAGCAATTTTATATTAATAAGTTGCAACTATTATCATAGAAAAAAAAATTTTGATCTATAAAATAAGAAAGATGTTCATAAAGTTATTCACATACAAAGTAATACCTTAAATGACAACTGGAAAAATGAATCACTAATCGAAACAGAATAAATTTATAAAATGAAAGTTTTAAACACCTTAATTTAAAAATCAGATCGGTTAATTTTAATGGATATACTGTAATTTAAAAATCCGATAGCGTTATATAACTGAACTGAACTAGTTAATAATAATATTCATCAAAAAATTTATATATTTATAGACATTTTTTACTTTATTGACTATAATAATAATTACAATTTGCAAGTCCTATTTATATAACAGAACTAATTATTCGTTAAAATTATAATGCTTTTTTTAATAAATTTAATTGTTTAAAAAATTGATGTTCTAATCCGTTTAATTCCTGCAAAAATAAAAGTATTTTCTATAGATTTTTTATAAAAATATCAATTATATTATAATATAATATAATTTAGTATGTTTATATTGTGTATAAAGAACATTTTTGATTTTATTGAGAAAAAGGAAAGAATTTTTATATTTTTATGCTTTGCTTTTTTGGATATTAAAAATTTACAAAATTCTTACCCATAACTATTTCGTAATTAATTCATAGTTAATATTGTTATAATTTAATATATGTGTTTGATTATTAGTTTTTTTCCAATTTAAATTTAATGATATCAAATATGTAGTACATAAGTCAAAATACAGAAATTTATATTAATTAAAATATAAATACACATATATATATAATTATATATATATATATATATATATATATATATATATATATATATAGTCATATATGGACACATAACGTACATGTAGAATACATTTTTCTAAATGTAAATCGCTTTAAATTACAATGAATTATACATTATATTATACTGCTTAAAAATTTTTTTTATTTAACGAAAGAGTCATTATTTCTTTTTTTACTTTACTATACATTTGCAATTTACATAAATTTTTATTTTAATTTTTCACTTTATACTATATTGTAGGATAACTAGTTTTTATAAAGTTTTTAATACCTATTTTCAATGTTTTATTAATATAAAAATTTAACATTCTACAATGATTTCTTTATTTTTCTTCTTGTTTTTTTTTTTTTTTAATTAAGTAATGAATGTTAATTGAGGCATTAATAAATTAATTTGAAATGTGGAGAAAATATAAAATACATCACCAAATAAAATCTACAGGAATAATTATAACAAAAAATAATATTAAAAAATTATGAAGAAAAACAAGAACCAAAATGCAAAACAAGTTAAATCTTTTAGTTCAGAAAATAAAAAAAAAACTATTAAAAAAGTGGAAAAATAGGAAATATTGATTATTAAATAATGATTTTTGTTTCATATATAAGAAAATCTTTTTTTTTATTTGAATTATTATACTTGCTTAAGTTAAGCCACAGCATTTTACAAAGAATGTTTTATCGTTTTTTTAATAGGTCTTAAATGGATAAAAAATTAAGAAAAAAAATCATTATACATTTTTAATATCTCCCTTAAAAAAATTTTTTAATTGCTTCTTTGAAGACTCTAAAATATAAATTATTGAAAAATTTGAGATGTTTGTCAAATCTTTTATTTTTAAATTTAAATTACATAGTTGCGCATATGTGCATATATACATATTATGATTATTTTGTCTTATAAAGTTGAACTATGTATTAATTTTATAAATATTTATTATTCATTTTGTTTAATTTGTAATAAATTTTCAGGTATAACATAAATGTCTTTATTTATACCATGCAAATTATATGCACTTCTAAAAAAATTTCCAATAAAAAGTGATCTGGTAAACATTCATTATTCTTTATTAAATTGTATTTTACTTAAGTAAAAAAATTTAAGTAATTAAAATAAATAAAATTTCCATTTAAAAAAATAATAGTATAATATCAGATTTGTGTGTATATGAATAAATATATGATAATTTTTTTTCTAATTTTCTCCATTTAATTGATTTTCTATTGATAAATTTTGTTCAATTATTTTTAAGCCATTATTTGTTAAAATATCACTCTTCAAGTTATTGCTCGTTAAACTTGAAGTATTGCAATATAAATCATTCGGATCTTCTATAATTTTAAGAGGTTCATCTAAATATGCTGTGGTATTACTAGAATTAATTGAAGATAAGTTTGAGAGTGAATTATTTGTGTTTGTAGCTGTACTATTTTCATTGCCAATAATCGAATTATTAGCTTTGCTAGATAAATTATCAGAAGATAATTTAAAGGAATTACTATGCTTTAATTTACTTTGGATATTAGATGGTTTTATTGCAATAGCAGGCTTTTGTGAGTTTGTTCCTCCCACTGCAATATTATATCCCATTGTATTTCCTATGGTGCTTAAATCTAAATTACCAGTATTACATGCTGCATTTATTATACTACTACAACCACCACCAGTGTTATTTCCGGTATTATATATTCCGCTGGTAGTATTTGAGGAAATGTTATTACTACATGATGTAGAGGAAGATATTTCAAGATTTTTCACCTGTTGTTGTATTATGCATTCGTTATCATAAATTCCTGTTAAACTTGTTGGGGGAGACGTTGTATGATGTAAAAATTGTTTATTTTGCAGTTGTGGGAAATTTTGATAATTTTCACTACACATAATTTGATAACCTTCTTCATTAGTCGATTGGACTGACGATTGTTGTTGACCATGTAATTTAAAATCAACAACATGCTGTTGTAAATTTTTTTGTTGTATTGGTTGTAGTTGTTGTTGCTGTCTGTTTTTTAGATCTACGGACGGAGATTGATGCAGTGTTGTAACTGATGTTGAAACGTTGTTTACCACTGTTCCTAATTTTGCATTTGCAGTTGGAGTTTGAGGTGGTTTGTTAAGAAACAGATTCGGGAAACGTTGCTTAATGGAATCGACAACATCTAGCAAATTTTTAGCATCCATAGCTAATATGTGGGCTGCTGATAGCATATTTCTAAAAAACGTATTTTTTTTCATTAATATAAGAAAAATTGTATTTCAGCATTTATACTCGTATTATTACTTTCTATATTCCGCATCTAATGTTGTTTCGCTATATTGCTGAGCTAAACGCATTGCTGCAACCAATTCAAACATGTCTTTAGACAAAACTTTGTGTGCCATTTCCACTTCCCTGTGAATAAAACAATAAATGAAAATTTAACAAGTTATTTACATTTTGTCTTAATAAAAATATATTACTTATGAGCTTGCGCAGGAAAAACTGTAGATAATGCATCAACTGAAGCTAAAAGATTTCTCAATTCCAGTCCAACATTTTTAACTAGTTCTAAATACTGGGATGCATTTGCCTTCTCAACACCTTGACTCAACATCATAATTGCTTTAACTACTGCTGTTGTAGCTGCATATACAGTGTCGTTTGCCCGATCCAGCGGACATATTTTTGTTGTTCCTGCGGCTGTTGATGCTGAAGTAGTTGCCGTTGAAAATGAATTGATCACCTCGGCACGTAACGATCTTTGGCCACCTCTTTCATCTGATGATGATGAAGGTGTAGTACTTCTTTCGTTTGTTGAATTACTCGATTTTAAAGTTCCTGGATTTGATCCAGGTGTATGCGGTCTTGAGCTCGTCGTGCTATTTGGTGTTTGGGGACAATCGATAGGTAAACTTGATGGACCACAAGATGTAGTTGAACTCTGTGGAGAGAATCTGGTTGCTTGATTAAAACTACTCTGCATTATTGGTGGTGTTGTTGTGCTTGAACTCACAACGTTATTTACATCTTGCTCATTTAGAGATGTTATTAAACTTAAACGTTTCTTCTATAAAAAATAAAATAAAAATGGAATCATTCTCTTGTAGGAAGTCCACATCAAAAAACTTACCAAGTTGTTTTCTTCTTGTATAAGCCATTTACTATCAACCTCACTTTCCATTTGTTGTTTTCTTAATTTAGCTTCCAATTCCTCTTTCGCATCAATTTGTTTCTGTTATTGTAAAAAAGTTCTTAATTGTAATTAACAATTATTTTTAAACATTTTTTTAAAATTTTAGAAATATTTAAAATATTTAAAATATGTAGAAAAAATAATTAGTACTAAATGTAAAAAAATAAATAAAAAAAAGAAAAATACACAAGATAAAATAAAAGGATTCTAAAAGTATAATAAAATATATTAGTTGATAAGAGTTTCTATGATTTAGAATTATTCTGTCCGCATGGAACAGAAGTAAAGAGATTGGTATAAATGTTTAGCACAGGTACATGCAACTTTAATGTAATTACTAAATGTTTTAACTCAAAATTTACTTAGAAAATCTAGAGATTACCAATTAAGAAAAATATATATGTATGAATTTTTTATTACAGGCATTCAGGCTTCGAATCGAAATTATAAAAACATAACTTTAAATAAAAATAAAAAGTATATTCAATTAGCAATCAGCTAATAAAAGTAAAAAATCTATAATCTCGTAATTTGCTTTCAAACCTGAATATCTGTTATTCCGTCACCATGAAATTGTTCATTAGAGTTACTTAAAGCTTTTTGCAAGTTAGCAACATTTTGTTTTTTACCAAAACCAAGGATGGAATTATTGGGAGGAGGACAGGATTGGACGTATTGAACAGTTTGAGAATTTTGAAGTTGAGTTGATATTTGTGTTTGGTGTTGTATTGCTAAACAAGGTCCAACAATTATTTGATTAGCTTGATTTTGCGAATGTGGAGGAGGTAAATTATGTGGCGACACAACTGGGTTCAAAATTGTTAAAGAGGTTGGCTGTGAATTAGACATTTGGGGATGATAACTTTGAAATAGAATTGAATCTTTTGTTGGAATATTTCCAGTTTGCCAAAATTTTGGTACCATTGGAGTATAAGTAGAGTTTTGTGATATTTGTAAATTTTGGTGTTGTGGAGCTTGATAGAATATTGTATTTTGATTTTGAGATTGTTGTTGGGTTGATATTTCTTGCTGAGTTTGTTGCTGATTAATAGAATTATTGCTAGCACTACTTAACATACCGGGTATTTGTGTACCAACTGGTAATAAACCTTTAGCAATACTTTTATTTAATGCAATAGCAGCACAACTTTTAACGTTAGCTCCCCCAAAATCATAAATTTCCTCTTGGAATGGTTCTACTTGTTCAATAGTTTTCATTTGATTGCGATACGCGAAATAACTTGGATTGCGTTCCAAGCTTCCAGAACGGGTTACTGAAACTTGATGAGTTGGATTACCACCACGTTCAAGACTATTTGCTCGATATGCAGCACGATTTCTCATTAGATCATAAGCGCTCGACATTGATTGATTACGCTCTAAACTTCCTCCTTTATTTCGAATTGAAAATTGAGGAGCAACGGGAACGCTATTTTGATTTCGTTCTAAACTACCGTATGATGTACGACTTCGTCTTTCAAGACTATTTTGATGGGAATCAGATGCATAAGTAGGTTCTTGGCCGCCACTTAACTGACGAGTTAAGGAATTTGAACGATTTGACTTAGTTAGTTGTAATCGTTCGAGGGAATTCATTTGGTTTTCATACGGTTGTTGAATATACTGAATATGATTCGGTGGAATTTGTTGATGATACAATACATAATTACTATTCATCACAGCTATTGGGGCCGGATTCATTGGCTGATAGGCTGATTCAATAGATTGTTGTGATTGAATAATTTGCCGCTTCGGAGAAGTGTTAATATTTGTATTAATTACGTCACACGAAGCTGGATATGCTGGTTGAGTTGGATTATGATTATGGGGATACATAGGTGGTAAACCTTGTGGTAATACACTATGAGGATCGATATAACGATCCAAAGTATTTGATTTTGAAGAAGGCGTAGAACCAAGTGAGTCAATAGTTGTTGATGGTGTAATGCCACTACCTCCAGAAGCAGCTGAGGAAGAAAGATTTTCTGAGCAAGATATTTGAGAATTAGCCAAAGAAGGAGAAGAACTTATAGGTATTAAGGATTGGGGAGAGGAATTTTCGTCAGGAACTATAGGATCTAATTTAAGTAATTCAGCCGCAGGTAATTTAACAGTTTTTAAGCTGATTTCAGCTGGATTAACATTAATTAGGTTAGTAGTTTTTGTATCATCCACATCTACAGCTATTGTATTAAATACCGAGGCTGGTGTTGTATAAGAGGAGGGATTTAGTGAACGTTGATCTGTTTCCATCATCAAACGAGCTAAAACGGCTGGATTTTGTGCTATAATATATGTTTGAGGTGCACCAAACTGTTCTATGTCATCAGAGTTTCCTAACCCTGCAGACATCGGAATCATCAATGATGAATCTAAATATATTTGTTAAATTTGAAATAAAAAGAAAAATTAATCAATTGAAACACTGACAAAGCTATTAAAACAAAAATATAAAATAACTACCTCCTGCTGGTCTGGAGGGTTTTGGCGGTGGTACATCATCACCAGCTCCCCAGGACATTGCAGCAACTCGTCTATTTTCTCTACGCATTACTTCACAATCGCTTAAACGTTCTTCAACCAAAATATCACTGTAATTCACAATTTTTCATTAATATTCACTTTTAATTTATAACTAAATTTTAATAGGCCTCACTATAAGGTTTCCTTAATGTTTTTGAAATTAGGTCGCTTTGAAGGTTCGTAAGCCCAACACTGTGACATCAATGAATATAAACGAGGAGGACAATTATTAGGTAAGGGTAAGCGTTCCCCATTTTCCAATTTTCCTATTACATCACTATTTTTTATTCCTTGAAATGGTTTAACACCTAACATCAAAATTTCCCAAACGCATACGCCTGCGAATGGTTTATTTTAAATTTAAACATTTTTTATTATTGTGGATTTTAATTACCGAACATCCAAACATCACTAGAAGCTGTAAAACGCCGAAAATTAATCGACTCTGGTGCCATCCATTTTATCGGAAGCATGCACTTGCTTGAATGATAATATGATTGATCCTGAACCCAACGTGACAAACCAAAATCAGCAAGCTGTGAAAAAAATTTATTCATATTTAAACCTAATTGACTTGGAATTTTTTTTTTATTTTATAATTTCAAAACTCAAACTAAATTAATGTTTATTAATATTTAAAATTAATATAATTTTATGTAACTTCAATACAGACCTTAATACAAGTTGACGAGCTAACAAGCACATTTCTAGCTGCAATATCGCGATGAACAAATTTTTTTGATTCTAGGTAACTGAGAGCTGTTGATAATTGATAACAGTATAATAGAAGAGTGCCCAATTTCAATCTGAAAGATCACATTGCATCATAAAATTAATCAATCATAAAATTTTGAAATAAATATGCGCTTCTATCCTATTCTCAAAAATCCTCGAGTATTTATAGAAAACAAACTAGGATGGAAACAGTGGACTAATTTTGATGAATTAAATCAATGCCATCGGCAAAAATATAAAACGTTGGCAGCGACATACCCAATTATATATAATCCAGAAATTAATGTGGATGAAAATATTGCAGTGAAATTAAAACAGTATTTTGAAAATAGATGTATACGCAAGAAATTAAAAAAATCATATATGGAAAGAGGAAAACAACAACTGTTGCGTTTCAAAAATTATCCAGTACAACCACCTCCAACAATAAACTATTATAAGGAATTAAATTTAAATAGAAATTTTCAAAAGATTACAAAAAAAGATCTATATTTTGAAAATTGGGAAAAAACGAGACGTAAACCAAATCGTTTTGTTAAATTACCTTGCCGCTATACAGCTTCTAAATTCAACAACATAACAACTGAACCACCAAATAAATTTACTAATAGTATACCAACAATGAATTATGCGCAAGTGAAAAAAATTATGGATATTGAAAGAACGCAATCATAAATCAAAGATGTAACTTTCTGATTAAACATATAAAGCAGCATTTACATACATACAAAAATTAAAACTGAAAAATATGTGTTCGCCAATAAAAAAACAGTTAGCTCTAAATTTAATTTAAAATTATTTGGTTATACCTATCTGAATTTGTCTTTAGATATGCTCTCAATTCTCCAAATTTTGCCAATTCCATAACAATCCAAATAGGAGGTGTGCTACATATTCCAATTAATCTAATGATATGAGGATGATCAAATTTTTGCATTATAACTGAAAATAGTAAATTAAAACATTTAAAATATATTAATAAATTTGAAAATATATTTATAATTTTGATTTTACAAGCTTCTTCCAAAAACTTTTCCGTTTTAGCTGAATCATCTTCTGATTTACAGGTTTTCACAGCCACATGAATTAATCCAGTTTTATTATTTAGTGTATCATTATTATTTTCTGTACCACTACTATTCCCACCACTCATATCTGAACCAATTGATGATGTGGAATCACCTAAACGATTTCTTGAAGTTTTCTGTTGTTTAATTCTACATGTACCAATATGAACATCACCAAATTGCCCCACACCGATTATTTCATTCAATGTTATTTGTGAACGGTCTAATTCATAATTTCGTACAGCTGGTGTGGAATAATCACCTTCTTCTTCAATTAAGCCAATTTCTGCATAGTCTTCACTTAATATTGGTTTTTTATTTTCATTTGAATTGGACTTATCGCAACTTTCACTCATATTATTGCCGTCATCTGTTTCGTTTGTTTTATCTTTGGTTGTTGTTGAATTATTTGATTTTTCTAATGAATTCGTTGTACTAGTATTTGGTGTTTGATGTGATCTATTCCATACAGATATATTTTCTTTGGTGTTGCATATACGGCAATAACCGTCGACTAAATCAGCAATACTTTCAGCCGTCTGTAAATTTTTTTTGGTGATAATTTACATAGTTATAGATAATAACCATTTTTTAAATTTATACTTACATTAATACCATCACAGGTTATTACTAAGTCTTCGTCGTTACCGCTAACTTTTATCTTTAATTGTGTTTTGATTTCTCTGCAATTGCATACTTTTTGTTTGTCAATTATTGATTTTTTACTACTTAACGGACTATTTGTTATTGAATTGCTATTACTTGTAACACTGGAATTTAATTTTTGTAACTCACTACATGAATTAATCGATTGCAAATGATATTTTTCCTGATGGCTATCTTTGTCCTTGTTATTGTCTGGCAAAATATAAGTTCGAATCCTTTCAATATCTTGAAAATCAGCAACTTTTGTTAATTTCGCCTGCGGATGTGTTAAGTATGAGATTCCAATGTGAGGGCCAATATAAAGGTGTCCAGATATATTCCAAGCAGAACTTAATGTTACAGCAAATGTTTCCTGATCGTAAACATATTGTGATCGAAGAAGTTCAAAGAATCTAAAATATGAAATATTTAATAAATGTAAAATAATTTTTTAGATTTACAGTATAAACTATCGGGTTAAGATTACCTTAACATGTATTCCATTTCGGTAAAATTATAAACTTTTTTATAGCCAGCTTGTATCATTTTTTTCAAATTTTTTTGTTTGACTGTATGTATCACAGATTTTGGTAAGAAATTACTAAAACCTATTTCTTTTTCAATATAATCCAAATGATTTTTTTTATCTGATGCCTGATTTGTGTCCTTATAATAATGTCTGATACCCAAACAACATAATTGTATTGCAATATCTTGATCTACTGATGGTGTATTTGATTGTATATAATCTTGCTTAACTTGATCAAAATAAAAATGGCAAGTTGTTCTATCTTTTTCGTATAATTCTTTTAAATTTTTTGGTATATAACGTACTCTTAATTCAGCTCTCCATACACTTGTTGTATGTAAACCTGCCGATAAATTTTTTTGTAAAATTTTCTTAGCTGTTGCTGTCTTATCATTATTTGGGCAGTCTGGATTCGGACAGGATGGATTTAATATATGTGCAACTACTTGCGATATTGAAGTATCTTGTGGCATCCAAAGTACTTCTTTGGTAACAATATTTAATAAACGTAATGCATAACAATTTGAATTTGTTTTATGCCCAGTGTTCATATTATTTACAATTAAATTAATTATTTGTTTAACATCTGATGCTTCGTGGAATTTTATCATACGAAATCCTGAATTTGGTAAATGAACTGTTAAAGTGAGACTTTCTGAATCCGCTTTAAATTATACGAAAAAAAATATACATAGACATTTAGTATTTTACAGTAATATCAAAATAATATAAGTATGTGTGTACAGCGTTTCGATTTTTCTTGTATACTTAGTGATTTGTTTGTTTTTTAAAAATATACTCACTCCCATTATTTCGCGATGGACTAAAATTTGGTGAATGGCCCCTTTGCAAATTTATATCAGTCATTTTTATTGATTGATGTTTTGTTAAATATTCACCGCCGAATAAATTTATATGGGTACCTCCGACACCACCAACCCCGCAGCCGTCACTTCCGCAAGATTTTTCACGAAAATCTACAGCAGAGCCGCCTGTCCTCCAATGGAATACTGAATTCGCAGCCGTATCGTATGAAAAACGTGTGTGACGACTGCGTAACAGATTGTTTGAGTTATGAGTGTTTCGTAATTCAGCAGTTATATCGCCATCCTTGTAAAATGAGTCATCATAACTATGTTTAAAATATAGGAAAAATAATAAAAAATATATTAATCGAATTTTGAAATAGAATTCAGTGGAACAGTTGAAATTTGTAAATTTATCTCAGAAAAAGTTGGTATAAATATAAATTAATTATTATAATTGTTAAAAAAGCAATTTAGTTATTATCAATATTATAAACAATTTAGTTATTATCAATATTTTTTTATGCTTTAATAAATTAATTAGATTTTTTTTTATTTTAATGTAATCTATTTCAACTATTTACAATATTTTATGGTATTTTCGCAAGTTTTATATTGTTTTGATTGTAAATATTAACATACAATAATTTCATTAATCATGTTAGTTGGTGTGCATGTCAGTATCATGCACAATGTTTTCTTTTTATTCAATATTAAGACTTGAATTATAACTTTTATTAATATTTCTTTCATTTTATTCGTATTTTATGTACATATGTGAAATTTAATGTATTTTTATAAATTTGCGGTTGCTAATTGTTATGATAATGTCGTTATATTTTAAAATATTCATCAAATTTTCTTTTTGAATTGTATTAATTAAAATTTTATCTATAAAAATGTTTAATTTCAAAAAACCATTTTGATTAATTTTTTTTAAATTGTATATTTTTACAATTCGCGGAAAATAAATTATTTTAATTTCAATAAAAAGTGTTTGTGTAAGTAAACAAACATATATAATATGTGGTAAATATTTTAACAATCTTAAATATGTATGTAGCTATGCACTTCTCATTTTTATTGAACTTTTTGTCTTATACTTACAATTTTTATAATTTATTTTTTTTTATTTGTATAATTTTTGTTTGTTTAATTTCAATAAAATTTTTAAATAAATCAATGTCAATTTTTTAAATTCGAACGACATGGGCTTATTTTAAAACACTTACTCCTTTTCTCATAGTGTTTTATTCGAGTGTTTCTTAATGAGGATATTCTCCTGTTAGCACAGCGCATTTAAACGACCTGCAGAGAAAAAGGTAAAATTGGGAGAGCCTCAGAAACTTAAGGGGGACAGAAAAATTTTTATTGTTTAAAAATAATAAAAAACAAGCAATTTTCACGTTTAAACTTTTTTAAATGACAAAAACAGATAGGAAAACTGAGAACAATGACAACAATAAATGGTAAGTGACAGCTATTTCAACAGGTAAATAAAAATTGTTTTGTAAATAAAAATTGTCAATAGATGTCATAATTAAAAAGTCAACACTTTTTTTAAAAAAAAATAAGAATTGTTCCTCTTAATCCGACTTAATTTTTTTTTTTGTCAAATTTTAATTTTGTAATTTTAAGCGAGCGAAATTGAATGAAATTAGATATTTTGATGTCGAGAATTATGTGATTATAGAAAAATTTTTTTTAAGCGAGTTCCAATATGTGTGAAAGTATATGGAGATTTTTCTTCTCAAAAATTTTGTGAATTTAAGCGAATTGTTCTGCTAGACAAACGCAGAAAAGTAGCTAGCTTCTTCTTCGACAGCTTGTCATAGTTAATCATAGAAATAACAAAATGACAGTTGAAATTAAAGATTCAAAAATTATATTTGTACTTACAACCTTAATACAAAAAATTTTTAATTAAAATAATTTAGTTACATTATTTAAATATTCAACTAAAAAAGACACCAGTCCACAATATAATTGATACCATACATTTGTTGTATGGAAAAGATAAAACCCCGTTTTATCACATAAATAACGCATTTTTAATGTTTTAGAAATTCATAACTATAAAATACTTATAACAAAAAGCAAGAAGTATACGATTTTAAACATATTTACTTGATCATATTAGGTCTGTTTAAGATGAATTCTGCTGTAAGTTTTTTAAGTGGTATATTTTTCTCCAATAAAAAATTATTAATAACTAACTCACATACATATTTCTTCAATTTTATGCTGTCACGTTTCTATTTTAATCAGGTTTCATTACAGATAATTAATACATTAATCAGGTTAATGTATTAATTATCTATCTTGGACAAAACTATTATGTAATCCACTTACTCTTGTGTTTTAAATTTAAAAACATAATTTTAGTCGAATAAGGGTGAATTTAAAATAAAATACACTATGCGTTTGGTATGAGTTATGAAATATGTATTTTAATAAATTTTTTGACAAAAAAATACAAAAAAAGTTTTTTAACCGGTTATTCCAAATGCGATAATTATTTTCTAATTTGTCACACTTGTAAAAAATATTTTGTTTCTTTGAATATTCTCACGTTAAAACTTTTATACGAAAAACATAGCATTGGATTTAAATATATGCTCGTATGTGTATACATAATTCGAAATAATATTTTAACATATTTTAAAAAAATTATTAATTTAATAATAATAAAAGTTATGGCGTTCTCAATTTTAATACATAAACGTTCAACTGTGCAAATACATACACATATATATATATATATATATATATTGAGTATATATATATATATATTATTGAGTATATATATATATATACTCAATAATTATGTATGTATATAGTATATATATATACTATCTTACTGTAATATAAGTATAATTATATATACTACATAAATATTCCATTATTATATAGTAATTTATAACTTTATAATTATACATAGTATATATGTTATATATATATTTAATAATGGATTAGTAAATGAATGTTTAAGAATTTACCCCTGAAATACATATGTAATACATATACATCAATACAAACATTGGATTTAATAATAAATTAAGCTAAAATTGTGATGATTTTTTAGTTTCGGACGTTTTAATGTTAAACAGGGATTATTTATGATAATAACATACTTGTATAATAAAATTTAAGTTCGTTTGTTAGTTTTTTATTTTTTAGCTGCAAGCTACACAAGCTATATGTCCTTTTAATTTTACATTAATTTCGACATCAATTAAAAAATTGAGTTTTCTAAACAAAGCAAGATAAAAGGAAGATTTGGTTTAACTTATTTAATGGGCTATTTTTTTTATTTTAGAAATATTTATTTAAAAAGTAATTCACAGTAATGGTAAAAAAAAATTCTCAGTGATTTTAATATAAAATTTAGAGGTTAATATAAAGTAAAAGGTAAAATGCAATTTAAGTCGACATACTCGTATGGTATAAATAGTGAGGTAGAAATAAATCTGGAAGAATATCATGATTGGTTTTATAATGTGACATCATTTATGTTTTATATAAATGATGTCACACAAAAGTCATACTGGAAGACTTTTTAATGGTTTGATCATAAATGTGTATTATTATAATTGGTAATTTTAAATCGCTGTGCACGAAGAACATGTTAAGATCTACAATAAACTAGATTATCAGAAAAAATTTAAAAATTTTGTTCAGAAAAATTTAAAAAAAAAATCTTTACTTAATTAAAATTTATGATATCGAAATCAACTTTATACTTTATTCAAATATTGCGCTACCAATATTTGAAGAAAGTATAAACATAATTTTAGTTTAAATGTTAATTGTGATCTATAACTAAAAAATCTGATGTGATCAGCTCATAAACGACCGTAATGTGTTTTGTCTAGTTAAGTGAAAGTTTTACAGAAGATTATAAAAATGCCTTTTAAGCACTTCTTTCCAATTTTTTGGACGTTAGTAAACTTTTAGTTACCATTCCAAAAACAATGTAAATTTGGCTCTTAATAGAGTTTCGCTTTGTGCCACCCGAATTCCCTGAAAACCTCGCCAGTTAGTTTCGGTAACAACCAGAGCTCAAATGTCAAAATTAAAGAAATTCCATCAACCCGTTCCGTAGATATGGTAAAAATTGTGAAATCGATCCGCAGTTTGGTTTTCGATCTCCGATCTTTGCAAAACATTTATATTTTCATTGTTTTCACACCTCAAATTTATATTTAATTTCCAGGAAATTAGTTGATTACTTCTCTTCATATGCGCACAAATGTAAAACAAGCCCGCAAAAAAGGCCAGTTCCAAAGGTTTGATATATCGAAAAAGTTGATCAATTCATAACATAGCCAAAACAAACTAACATATAAAATTTCACGAAAATCGATTCAGCCGAACTTGAGATACCCGAGTACACACACAGATAGACAACAGACAGCTCGACTGACTGACATCTCTCTAAAAATTGTTTACTTATAATTCTTTACTATGGTGAAGTACCATCCCGCCGAAAACGATATGCAAAATTTGTTGCCATCACATTACCTCCCTTAATGTATACAATGCGGTAGGTAATAACGTGGTGAATAAAAAAAAAAATTTCAAACTACTTGCAGTTTAATTGGTTTGTTTCAATTTTTTGTTTTTGTACAAAGTATGAATTACTTTCAATGCCCGAACTGTGGAAAGTTGATTGAAAAACTCACTTATTTTTTTCGCTACAAAGCTAAAAATAAAGTTATTTAGCTACTATTAACTTTAAATTTTACGAATAGAGTACATGCTTGAACGATTATTGACAAGAAAACTAGACGAGACTTTATGCAGCAGAGGCGTTAGTACGTTGTTTTTTTTTAGCTTTTTATATTTTTGTATTTTGCTCCATGGTTTTTTTAAAAACCCATGCATGTGTAAAAAATATATAGAAAAAACAACTTATATAAAACTAATGTATGCACATTCTGTATGTTTTACAGAAAATACGACATCCGTATTCAATGAAACAAAAATATACAAAAAAAATTATAACTCAAATTAATAAAGAAACAAAAAATATTTTACACTCTATGTATATGTACACAGTGCTATTTTGGATTATACACCAGGGAAGCGAGCAGCAAGAGTTCTATACCAATTCGTTATGTATAGAAGAAAAATTGAAGCAGAGAAGGAAAATCAGTAGAATAATGAATATTGCATGATTGTGTAAAATATATCAAATTTACAATAACAAATTCTTTAATAATAGTAAGTTATAAAATAATATAGTAATTTAAAGGTTATTTTCGTTACTTTAACGTTGTTGTAGTTGCTCTCTTTTTTAAAGCATTTATTGTTGGCTATATTGAGTCTTCTAAGGTGAGTTATTTTTCTGTACCTATAGGTGGATTTAACCAGATGTCTTAATGTTAATCAAGATCATATTATATTTTATTATTATACTATGGGATTTATTTTCTATTCATTATAATATTAAATATTACATTTAACATATGAACGAGATTTTGTTTAACGCGCTGACAAGAAAAATATGCTTATCCGTTTTTTATACTCTGTACTTCGTGAAGGGTATATTCACTTTGGTATGGAGTTTGTAACCACTTGAAGGAACATATATATAACGTATATTCTTGTTCAGCGCAAAATTCTGCGTTGATTTAGACATGTCCGTCCGTCCGTCCGATCGCACGGTAACTCAAAAACGAATAACGCCATCGACACCAAACTCAAGTTTTTTCTTTTGTGCCAACAATGGCTGCTATTGTAATTGGACAAATTCGGACAACGGGTTCGGGTAGATGCCATACAACCCAAAGAGGTATTTTTAAATCTTTTAAAAACTAATAAAGATATTGATATCAAATTTTGTAAAGGTGTGTCTAATTATGTTCTACATATATTCTGAACATTATAATGGAACAACTGCACTGGTTCGGGTAGCTGCCATACAATTTCAAAAGTTGATTTTAACTATTTGGAAAAATAATAAAGAGAGATTCATGAAACTCAGCAAATGTGTGTCCACTTATAGGTCAGACATAATATCCGTAAAGTTCCTATTAAGTGGTTTGACAAGTTTAAGTAATTGCCATTTAGCAATCAACTAAAACACAGATTGTCAGTAATTGTCATTTAAACTCAGATTGTCAAAGTGCAGGGTATTATTCAGTCGGTTTATACAAACTGAAACGCTTTTACATGTTTTTGTTTACTGTAATATATGTTAATAACGAAAAATATAAGGTTAGTTGTGTTATAAAGTAAAATGTGCTTTAGTAGTATAGTAAGATGTTTTGACATTTTGTTGATTAATATTTTATACAACATGATCTTGAAATTGATACATATACATACATGTACATATTCACGTGCATATATACATATATATAAAATTATTTGTTATTCATAAAATGCAAAAATTGTTGTACATATACATATGTATTTAGATGAAGTTGAAATAATGAAGCAAATTCAGTTAATTGTTTTTAAATTAATTGAAGCATAATATAGTAAAAGTCATACTTTTTATATAAATACATGTAACGCTTTTATAGGTTTATCATGTATAACGACATACACAAAAAATCTGGCGAACGAAAATATAATGTAAGGGTACTGTAAGAACTCTTTTGTGATAAATTATCTTACAGAAAATAAAAATTAAATCAATAATAAAATAAAAACCTTCTTCTATAGATCCAAGTTTTCACAATATCTGTTGAATCCATGCTTTTATGTTCTTTTTCAGTTTCATTACATACGGGACTGTTATGATTATCACTATTATTGTAATGAATGCTGTTGCTACTACTATTATTGCTATTACCATTTAAACGAGAATCAGTTGTTGTATAATTAGTGCTGCTACAACGATGAAAACCAGCAACAGATATATGACGTGATTTACTATTTCGTCTACTCCTACCTTTTATAACTCCATTATTTTGGACAATAAGTATGTTATTGTTATTATTATTAATATTATTATTATTATTATTATTATTATTATTTTTATTATTATTATTATTATTATTATTATTATTGCTATTATTATTATTATTATTATTATTATTATTATTATTATTATTATTATTATTATTATTATTATTATTATTATTATAATTATTATCATGACCTTTAAATGCTGTTTCTATTATTGCATTTGTATTATTTATGCTATTATCATTATTATCTTTGTTATTTATATAATTATTATTAGAACCGAAACGAGGTGGACGTTTAGTTAAAATTTGTATTGAATTATTTTCATTTAATATTGCAGGAAGTAATTGTTGCTCAGGTTGTTGATATTGCTGTTGTTGTTTCTGATCTTGTTTTAAATTTTCGTTTAAGGCACTATTTTTATTCGTAGCGGCTTGATTATCGCTATTAAATTCATTGGTAAATTCAAATTCATAAAATCTCTTCGGGGTATTATTTGAACTCGATGACTTTTTTAAATTTTGTACACTTTTATTTTTCCTATAATTATTATTAAAATTATTATCTTCAATATTGCTGTTATTATTCGTAGTATTTTTTATAAAATACGTAGATTCACTATCTGTCGAACTTTGCCGTGACCAATTTTTATTTGTTCTATTAACAGTAGTTTTTATATTCCGACCGATTTTTGTTGATGATGATGCAAGTCCTCTTATTGATTGTCTTAAGCAAATTTTTCCTGTTATTGGTAATGAATTAATCTTTTCATCATGATCATCTTTATTACTATTACAATTACTTCTAATTGAATCACTAATGCTTACATTTGGATTTGATTCACTTGTAGTTAAGGAATCTGTTATGGACGTAGAATATGATGAATTTAGATGTTGCTGTTCAGCAACTTTTTTCTCATCAGAACGATTAAATGAAAATCTTCTACTCAAACGTTTGAATAAATGCGGTGATGATGTAATCGATGTAAATGTTAAATTAGATGCTGATGCAGTACTTCTATTTTTATTTGTTTGATTTAAATCATCAACACTTAAATTTCTACAGAATGGAATAATGGAATTTTTATTTTTCATTTTAGAATTACTTGATATAACATTTTTGGCACAATTATCATTATCATTTGTAATTTCATCAATACTATCTGGAGTTTTAATTGCAATTGGTAACATTGGTTCACTTGATGATAATGAAAATTTTGATAATCTTAATGCTAACGCAGGCGAATTTGGGATGGAGATATTATTATTTTGTTTAAAATCATCAATATAATTATCAATATCACTTAGAGTATTTAAATTATTATTAATTTCAACATGATTTGGTGTTTTTTGAAATGTTGAAATATTTTCAGAATTCTTTTGAATTTTTTCATTAGAACTATTTTGAAAATCGTCATTGTATTGATTTTGATGGTGAATATCATTTAATTGATAAAAATTCGATGAAGATGCTTTCACTGTTGATGGAAATAATGATGGCGAATTTGAAGATGATGATTGTTGAGGGTCATTTTTACGACGTCTTTTTTTCCACATAAAATTACTTAAATTTTGTTGTTTCATCATGAAAAATCTTTTAAATTTATTAGGTGCCGAAGAATTACATTCAACAACTGGCATAGACGATATAGATAATGGTGTTGTCATTTTATCTGAATTTAAGTATAATGTTTTTGATTCTGATGATGCGACTGTTTCTAAAAATAATGGAATCATTTCAACCTCTTCTGTTAAATCTGGCAAGTGTGTCATAGTTGTTGATGTCGATGGTGTTGTTGATGATGTTGATGACATTCTTTCTTTAACTTTAATTTCGTTGATATTCTCTCTTTTTGATTTGTCTTCCTGTTGATTTGAGTTAATGAACAGCCTTGAATTTGAATATTTTGGTGGCGGCCGATCAACAATAAAAATATTTGCTTTTGTAATAGTTTTTCCTACGGTTGCTGCCTTGGCAGTTGTTATTCGATTGGACATTGTTATATCATGTTTAAAAGACACATTTTCATTTTTATCATTTTTCATTTTTAAATTATTCATATGACTACAAACGTCACTTAAATCCTTCATATTATTATTATCGTTGAGTGCTTCAAATAATGCTAGCTCATTTGAAAAATCAATTAGTCTGTGACAATCCTCTTTTGATGATAAATTTGGTAGCTTATCTGTGAGGAAAATGGCGAGGATGAAATATAATACATTTTCTGATTAAAAATGTATAGCAATTGTATAGATAAAAAAAAAAAACAAAAAAAATTTAGAATTGAAAAAATAATTTATAATTTTTTTTCTACTTAGTTTTTTTACGATTTTGTTAATTTAATTTGCAATTTTCAGGCTAAGGTACAAAAATTGAGGTATTTGACTTTTATGTAAAGTAGATACATATCAATTAAGAGAATTTGGTTTTTTTTTTGTGCGTAGGCAAATAATTGATATGCATATTCAAAAAATGTTCAATATTTATTTATGGGAGTTACTTTTAATTTAAAATAAATGAGTTGTTATAATTACTTGGAAAAACTGGTTTCTTCCAATTTACAATTTATTTTTGCCTTATATAAGTAGATTTAAACTATGGATTATAACATTATAGGCTTACAAGGTCAAAACAATTCTTTAACTGAACTTTTAAAATGTTTCTTCAATAACTTTGAATCGATCATTTACTAACATCAATTCAATTCTACTTAACCTTCAAATTAGCTTCCATTTAAGTTAATTTTATTTTATTAAACTGATAAATGTAAACCGAAATTAATAAATCATAATGTATATTAACTAATTTCATTTTTAATATAAATTGAATTTGTAAGCTTATTTTTCATAAATTCTTACAAAATTGTGCCGAAAAATTAAATTTTATTCAAACTCATTAATGTATTTCAAACTAAAATACTTCATTTTTACCAACTCTCAGCCTTTTTTGCGGTGTACAATATATGTTAAGATCCACTTAAAATTTTTATCTCAAAATATACCAATATTTAAATTAAATCCTAGAAAGAAGTAATTTAAATATTGAAACTAAATCCTAAATTCGAGGTAATTTTAATTAATTTTATTTATTCTTTTATGGGAAAATTCTTTTTTCTTAGTATGGTAAAGGTTAGGAAACATTATTTTAGTATAAATAATTTTTTAGTATGGTAAAGATAATTAAAAAATTGTTGTAGCTAATATCAAAAATAATTCGATTAACGCATTAGCTGCCAAATACGAGTTATCTCGTAGTTGGAATTCGTATCAAAACTGCCAACTACGAGATAACTCGTGGTAAGAACTGTGCAACTATATGAAACTTAATATCTGAAAAACCAGCTCTTTGCGTGAATAATTGTTTCAAAATTTATCACCACAAGTAATTTACTATATTTAATACTTAAAAAAAAAATGAATTTTGTTTTGTTATGGTTTATTTTATTGAAATAAAGTTGAATTTCGAATATTAAATTTAGACTTTTTCTTTTTTATTTTGAAATCAAATAAAAAACTAAGTACGAGCTATCTCGTATTTGGCATATTCAAATAAAATTGTCTAAAGTAGGCCAAAGTACGAGATATCTCGTATTACCTAAAGATACCTAAAAACACCTTACAATAGTTTTGGGAAGCCTCATGAGTGTTTTTATGCAATATTATTGCATTATTTGTCTTGTAAAATAAAAATTTTGAATTGGCACCAGGAGTTAAATATTCCAAAACTCTCTTGGCAGCGAATGCGTTAAGGAAAAACAAAATCATAAAAATATAAAAAAAAATATTGATTTTTTTTTTTGTTTTTTTTTTTGTAAGTCTGTTACTTTTGTATTTAAGTGTAGTAAATTTATAATGGAACCCACCAACATCTTTAGAATTCGAACTTGAACTTCCAGATTTAGGTAATTTTAAAAGAAAATCAAATGTTAAATCATCATCGTTATTTTCATTATCAGCTAAATTTTTTAAATTATCAATGTGCTCATAATATTTTTTATTTGGATGAATATTTAAATTATTTCTTAAACTATTTGAATCACTTTCACTTTGTTCTTGATTGCTTACGATGTTATTACTATTACAATTACTATTATCATAAGTGTTTTGATTTCTGTTATTACTATTATTGCTATTTTCAGGAGGAGAATATTTAATGTCTTTATTTGAACCTTGATTATGTACTTTAAGTATTTTAAGTTTACAATTTAAATCGGACTCAATAATTTTTGAATAACTATTTTCACATTTTTCATCGCTTTCTTCTTCATTATTATAACTATATGTTTTTAACTTTGTTTCTTTAACATTATTTATATCCCATAAATTTTGTTTTTGATCTGAATGTTGATTATCATTATTAATTTCATGATTTGAAACTGCATTTGAACTTGTAACCACAATTAATTTATCAATATATTTTAATTTACTTTTATCACACAATTTTTTTAATTCAATTTCATTTATATCGTAACGTTTAAAAACTGGATAATATTTTGTGTTATCAACAATTAAAATGGATTTATTTTGACCATCATTAACTGATATGTTTCCATTATTTACATCATTTTGAAATATGGATGATGTATTTAATTCTAGGACGGTAGCTTCTTGCGGTTGTGTTGTTGTTGAAGGTTTTATTGAATTTATTTGATTTGATATAATTAAATTACTTGCATTTTCATTACGATTAGTGTTATTATTATGATTTTTATTAATACTATTATTATTATTTGATGTATTACTATTAACATAAATGTTATTACTACTGATATTATTATAATAATTATTATTGTTATTACAATTTAAAAAACAGCCATGTACATTATCATACAAATTTAATTGGTTCTCTACAGTATTTGGTGAATTTTTTGAATTATCATCGATTGGTCGTAATAATAATGGCTCAAAATTTTTTGTATTAACAAGTAAAACTGGTTTATTTTTATGATTTGAGTTGGTAGCATCAGAATTTTTGTTTGTGGTAGTATTAATAATGCGTGGGCATATATCGTGATTAAATACAATTGTAGTATCATTATTATTAAAATTTAAATTATTACTATTACAAGTATAATTTTCAGTCTTTCTGTTTTTGTCTTGTCTTTCATCTAATATATTTAGTTGTTGCTCCCTTCTATGTGAACAACGTATAGCACAACCATCGAGTATTTTACCATTTTCTTGTTGTTCCTTAAATTTACATTGACGACGATTACTACCGCCATATAATAACTCTCTTTGCTTATAAATTTCATCCTCAAGCTCTTTAATCATTTGTAAATTTAATTGGAAATCATCTAAATGGTTTAAATTTGATAATGATTTTAATTCATTACTATTTCCATTTGCTGATTTTGATGTTGGTTGTGATGAATCAGTGCTATGTTGTCGTTGTAAGGCAGTTGATATACGTCTTGTTAAATTAAAATTTGATGGTAAACTTAATGGACGGGTAAAAAATTTTGGCGCTGGTCTTCTCCTTTTACGTACAGGAATTCGATTTTTGTCTAAATTTATAATATTTGTTGGAATGTTAATATTTATATTATTATTATTGTTATTATTGTTATTATTATTATTAGCATTATTTGCATTTTGATTATTATTATAGTTATTATTATTATTTGTATTACTTGATGGAGTTACTGATTCCGGATTTAAAGAAGAATTATTATTGTCATAATTAATTTTTACCATTAATGGTGGTTTTCTACTAATGACATCATTACTTTTATTATTGTTACTATTAATAGCAAAATTTGTATTTTTATTTATGCGTCGATTTGATGCGAAATCATTTTGGGATGGTTTTTGTAGCTGTTGTTGTTCATTACTTCTAGAACGAATATGAGGAACACCGTCAACATCACTTTCATATGCCAATTCTTTTGTCGTAATATTATAGCTATTATTATTGGTTTTGCTGCAGTTGTTTTTTATACCGGCAGGTTCTATTTTTTGTATAGAATTATGTCGATTTGTTGGTTGGTCGACATCATCATTTATATTGCTAATATTGTGGTTCATTTTAATAACTGTGACAAGTATCGTATAGTTATGAATATTATATATTAAATGTTGCTTCTTTAATTAATTTTATATGTACATACATATATGTAAGTGTTTACTTATTGACAATTGAAAAAAATTATACCTGTTTTATTAGTTTCCTGATTTATCTTAATATTTTCATACTCAGATGATTTTGTAGTAGGCGTTGCAACAGTTTTTTCTGTTTTCGTTGAATTACTCGAATTTTCTAATGGTGATGAGTTGTAATATGTTTTTAATATTGATCGCGATAACATATTAAATAAAATTGGAAAAAAAATCAGTTAAAACGCACAAATTACTCAAATTATGTTTGTTTTTATTCCAAAATATTATTCACTCTCCTCTTCATTTATAATATATTTCGGCATAAGTAATCTTAAAATTAATATTAATTTTGGTTTATAAATTGAATTATGATAATAATATTTATTTAAAATATATCTAAAAAATGAAATTTATTAGAATTCAACTTACATCCAAATATAAGTCAGCTAATAGGTAATTTTTAAAACAATATTTTTTTCAATCAAACTGAATTTTTATATTTCTTTTAATATAAATTTTTAAATTTCGATACTTAAATTTTTCTTACGTTTTTAATTTAAGTTAATATTTTTTCAAAATTTGAATAATGTTTTCTATTATCATTTATTTTAATAAAAAAAAAAATTTAATTTCTTAAACCGCATTCATTTATCACGAACGTAAAAAAAATATACAACTTTATTTATATACACAATACACATTATTCATACTTTAATTTTGTAAAAAGACTATTTAATACAAAAACTAATAAGAAAATCAAAACAATAATTACTTGTAGAAAAAATAAAATAATTTATAAAGAGTCACAAATCAAAAACGCCCACTAATGTTTTATATCATTTTTTTCAAGTCATTGAAATTGAATTATACAGTAAATTCTTAATTGAATAAGACTAATTCATATTAATAATTGTTAATTAATAATATAATTATTGTTGTTAATACTCTAGTTCATACATAATCAATCGACTTTATAGTTATATTTTGCAATATAAATTAGCATTTGAATATAATTACTTAATAAAAAATATTAAAATAAATACAGCAAAAGTACTTTTGCAATAGACATTTTCTATCTTCCTGAATGTCGCGTTCCTTTTTTGAAATTATTTAAAACCTAAAAATTTTCGGAATTTTGAAATAAGTTACTGATAGATTACTTAAAATGACTGACTCTAATAATTCTGTTCAATTATTATAATTAGAACGTTCCTGTGCGAGCTTATAATTTGTATATACTTATATACTTATATAAATTTGTAAACAAATTAAATCTAAGTAATATTTCACTAAACAAATTTGGATTTTACTGTAATTGGTTTTATTTTTACTACAAATATAAATATATTTTCTTAATATTGTAATTATATAGTTTCATTTTAAATTCCATTTTTTTCCGATAGTTTTTGATCTCGTTCACAATCATTCTTGTTTGCAGTTTTTCACAGATTTTAATTTTAAACCTATAACAATAATTCTATTTTCTCTTATGTTATAAATGTATTTGTGTGTAAGTTTTATAATAATATTATGTAGGTAAAAATAAGAATATCAAAAAAACAATATTACGAAATACAAATAAACATACCTATTTAAAGAAAAGAAAAAACTAAAAAAAATATATTTTTTTTTCACTTGATTGCCCAATATGTGAGTCTGAAATAAAATTGGAAAAACAGAATTTCCAAAATATTAATACGGAAAATTCTTGAAATAAAAAGTATAAAAGTGTATATGATATGTGTGTATTTATTAGTTTTTACGTATATTTAAATTAAGTATTATATTTTCAAATTTTAGAAGGTAGGTATTGAAATTAAGTTTAAGAGAAGTCTAAAAATTGTACGAATTTTATACACGTATGTTATTCCACATTTAAAATTTAATTTAAAATAAAATTTTTAAAGAAAGTACAGAACAAATAAAATAAAAAAGTTTCGTTTTGCTGTGTGTATAAATATTTACATATATTGCATGTAATTATGCTTTCAAAAATAATTTCCAAAAATAACTTTACGATAATATTTAAATATCATAATATTGCAGGTAGTAAGTATCTCAATTTCTAATATGTAGGTACTTACAAAATTTATAGTTTTTATTTTTTTTATGCAATACAATTTTTAAACATTATTTTTTTTATTGTATTTAAATCACAAATTAAAATAAATGACAAAACACCAAACACAAATATATTGTCAATTTTGATTATTTTTTCATTTTAAAAATTACTACACAAATGACCCAAATTCATGTCAATAATTTTTTAGACGAAGCAAGAAATATGTATATATGTACATAGTCTGTGGAAAATTTATTTTATTAACTTTTTATTTTTACAAACAAAAAATTAAACAAAAAATATAATCATAAATTATTTTAGCTAAGATATGTAGATGAGTACTTATGTAATTTAAGTTTCTTTTTTATAATTAAAAAATATTACTAAACTTTATGTTGTAACATTTCTTTTGAATTTTTCTTCTTAAGAATTTAATATTAAAATAAATAAGTATAAAATACATATATATCTAGAGAATGTTTAACATTATAAAATAGAGTATATACATCAGCGAATATTCAGAAAATTTCTTTTTTTTTAATATAAAATTATGACACTCTCGCAATTAAGTACCATAAATAAATTTTGAACACTTAAATCAAATTTTAAGGGCCTGACCGTCTATCTCACTATTTTACTCGGAAAGTGAGAAGAAAGTGAGTAACTATCATATACTTGTATAATGTAATTTTTGTATTAGAGGAATTATTTACTCGTTTTTCTCTAAAATGCATACAAAACGTTCAATCGATTATTTGAGAAAAAATACAAAAATCCAATTAAAAAAATTAGTGATCTTATTGGAAAAGGAAAACATCCATTAGAAAATACTGACAATTCTCATTTAAAAGTGAATAAAAAGTGAGTAAAAAAGCGAGACACACGATCAGGTTGTAAAGCTTATGCTTCTATAAAAGACTTTAAATTTTAATTTTGTATAGTACTTACAAAGAGGATTTTTTAAGTGTTTTTCTGTTCGAATTTTGAAATAAAAATTACTTACAGCATTTAAAAGCTATTAATTTTTTTAATTAGTTGTGTATTAGTTTTTTTGACATTAATTATTTCGACTTTGTCAAGAATATTATTATTCTCGGCCTTAATTGTGAAATCATTTTTGATGAAGTTATACTTATACTAAGTATAGTATAAATAAAGCAAATTCATGCGAAACTTATTATAAATAAAGTTGGGTCAAACCAATGGTTTGTATTGTAGCACTTTTCCCTTCAACAAGAGAAAATACTGCTTTACAAAACAATCGATGTATACCTACCACACCATTAAAATTATTTTCATTCTTATATGAAACTATTTCTGGGATTGCATGTATTTAGGATAGACAGTCTATGCAGTTTTTAATATAAAGCAAAAATTAATTTAAAGAGGGGTTAACATAATGCTCAACGGACGGACGGGCGGACGGACGGAGTGAAACTAATAAGCACTTTTTTTCAAAATTTTTTTGGAAAAGTGCTAAAAACGAAAGAAAAGAAGGAAAAAAAAATTCACTTCAATGTTTTAGGCTTTTTTTTATTTACTTGAAAGGTGTTTTTTTCTTCTGGTTTTATTATTTTTTAGGGTTTTCATGCTTTTTTTATAATAACTATATTTTGATTTTCATACATAATATTAGATTTATAAACTTTATAAAATGGAAAAACTATTCCATATATTAAATTATAATAAATTAATTTTATAATTTTTGTAAATAGAGAAAAATATAATAGCTACAATACTTTTGCTTTTAATAAAAAAAAGAAATCTTTATAATTTTTCTCATTTTATTTAAATCCATACATAATATTATGTAAATTAAAATGCTATTGATTTGATTTTTAAATATTTTTATAACCTAACCTCTTTTAAGAAATTAAGATTTCTTTGTATAAAAAGTTAGGTTATAAAAAATTTTTTTTTTACAATTACATATATAATTATCGTAGGCTTCACTTAAAAGAAAAGTATCATATATTCATAATCATCAACATAGACACCATTAATTTTTAATAAAGTTATCTAACTGTAAGTAGATGACGCCCTTGACTTGAATAGAATGCCCTTGACTTCTGTAATTGGAATGTTGTTCATAAATGCTAAAATTTATGTTATTTTTCTTGTTTGTACACATTTCCCACAGAACTAAAAATTTATTCATTCTTGCCTGGGAGTTTTGCATTTTGTATTTTTAACTACAAACTTCCGGAAATTATAGATCGCGAAATGTTCAAGGTTGATATATACATTTTTTGATAACTTTATTCAAAAAAAATTTTGTAACATTTATGTAATAAATTTTTTTTATTTATTAGAGAAAATGGTATGCTATTAAATATTTGCAACTAAGAAATATTTTTGTAACTATTGTAGTTTAACTGTTTTTATAAACGAGGGTATACCTATACAATAAGATAAATAATAAAATAATATAATATATATGCCTATATATATTATATATATATATATATATATATTATACATATACATAGTATACTACCTATATATGTATATATATTATATAATATATATAGTAATAGATATGAAAATAGTTAATTAAAATTTATTGTTTTTAAACCTCTACACCATATATAAAATATTATGGTATATAAAATATGTTATATTTACAAATTATTGTTTTATGTTAATATACATATGTATTTTCTACATAATAATACTTATGTAGTAATAATTTATAGTAAAAATAAAAAAAATTTAGTATAAATTATTTTCTAGTTGCTTTATTTGCTTTATATTGAGTCAGAAACATATAATTAAGCATAGTCTGAATATTTCACACAAATTTCACTTTATTTTTTAATGTTTATTATTAATATTTAAATTATATTATCTTTTTGTTTTTAATTAATTACACACACTTATGAAAAAAATTTTAAATTTTCTTTTCTTCTTTTTTATTAAAATCAAAATAAGTTTTAAATTTAAAAATATGTACCACGCGATGTGATTTGAACGGACTTAAAATAAAAGTAATTGCAAATACTTAAGTATATATGGTAGGTAAAAAAATCCATAACTAACGCAGAGTGAAAAATGAAAAATGAGTGCATTTATATAAAAAAAATTAAAAATTTCACCAAAAATAGAAATTTCATTCTAAAATCTTTCAACCGATTCATTCACATTAAAATTGTTGTTGTGTCTCATTTTAAATTTTCATTTTCATTGTATTTCTAGTGAAGGTGAAGGCACATAT